ATGTTTATACTTATGTCAAATAATGATGCTTCGCAAAAAAATGGCGATGGTTGGAGGCTGGGAACAAAAAACCTTTACCTTAACTACTTGCTAACAATTATCATAATATTAGCTAGGTCCTTTGTAAAAATATAATAGTGTTAAATAAAGATTGCATTCTTGCCTGTTTCTTATTAATTTCCTTGTATTTAGATATTTGTATTTTTTGTACAAAGCAAGCACATATTTGTAATAAGAACAAGATTTTTCATATTCTTTCAAAAATAAAGATTAAACCTCACCTGATAGAGAAATATATTAAGATCACTCAACCAAAAACTTGTTAAAAACAACCGTCAGACCTAAGTCAACAAAAGTGTTCCTTAACGTTATTTGAGGTTAATTTCAATTTAAACGCATTATTTAATTACTTTTTTTGTGCTATGTTTTATCCAAAATTTATTTAACTTAGGAATATAGGAAAAGAACCTGATATATCCCTTTTGTGTCGGCAATTATTATTTTTTATAGATAGAAATTTATTTGATGATTAAAAAACATTATAAGTGTTTAGAAATTATAACTAAATAAAACTTTAACCTCCACCCACTTTGTTTTGAAGGGGTTGTAAACTTAACCTGGTAATATGTCTTGAACACAGAATAATTTCTTTTTATAAAACTGTTCATAAATTGCAGTTTCATTTTAGAAAATTATTTTTTTGGTTAAACAATTTCCCAAATTTAGATGGGATATTAATAAACATTTTTGTTTTTAGGTTCTAATCAGTGCAACATTTGGCAAAACTTTTTTATAAGATTTAAATTTGAAATTAAAAAGTTTGGAGTTAAGAACTTATTTAGAAGTTACTTAATTCAAATATCAATAAATCCTGGATCCACTCCTTGTAGTTGTTTATTTAACCTGGTATCTAATAAAACTAAAGTAATTGACACCGTTTTAAAAATCGCATCATTAAAGTTTAACTTTATGGTCATTATAATTTAAATGTCATTGTAAAGAAAACAGTTTATGTTTAAATTTTTAATTAAAAATTTTTTCAAACTTTTTTAATGGTTTTCTTGTAAAAAAAGCATACTCAGGTATTCGCTTACGCCATAAAGAGGCCAATAAAATAAGCAATATATATATATATATATATATATATATATATATATATATATATATATATATATATATATATATATATATATATATATATATATATATATATATATATATATATATGTATATATATATATATATATATATATATATATATATATATATATATATATATATATATATATATATATATATATATATATATATATATATATATATATATATATATATATATATATATATTGAGTCGTTCATTATTTCAAAAGATGTAATTTTTATATTGCTGTCAGATCAAATCTAATCGTTTCTAAAACAATGCTCAAACTGTTAATTCCGTCACCGCGCTTACTTTTTTCCCACACCTTACAAATTATACTAAAATGAGGAAAATGAAAATTTATTATTATTTTATAAATTTTATTTCGCTGATTAAACAATATTACTATTTTCATACCATCATATAATAAATTAAACATAAACATCACAACCTTTTCATAGAGCCCAGTGGCGGATTGAGGTTTGGTGTCGCGGGGGGACTAAGTCAATGAATAGGGGCGACCGGGGTTGTCTTCAGTAATTTGATCTTATAATTTTTTTTTTTGATTGTTTTAGGGGGCGCCGTTAGACCGCTCTAGAGGGGCGTGGGGGGGAGCTCCCCCCACGCCTTATACTAAACCCGCCACTGATAGAGCCCCTTTAGTCACTCATTTAAAAAAAACACTTTAATTTTTAAAATAAAATAAAAATTCAATAAAACATAGCTCATATTTTTTTTTTCGTGTAAAAAATTTAAAACAAAAAGTATTAAAACAGATAAGAAGAAAAAAAAGAAGAAGAGAAAAAGTTCAAAAATCTGAAAATAAATACTGTAAACTATAATATATATGTCAGGAATTAAGAATATGCATTTTAGTTTGCCATTTAATCGATGAAAAGCTTTTTAGATCTTTAATTGTTTTATTTTGGAATTGATTTCATATTGATGGACCACGGTTTGTAATTAGAAAACTTGACTGCGGTGATTTAATTTTCCCTAGAAGATACCTAGTGTTTGAACGCAGATTATATTTTTCAGAAAATGAGGTCAAGAAAATATCTGAAAAAATACTTGGTAGTAGACTGTTCTTATCATAAAAAACGCTTGGTAGTAGATTGTTCTTATACATAAAAAACTCTCGGTAGTAGACTGTACATACATAAAAATTACTACATAAAAATTGCTTACTCATCAAAATTAATATGTAATGTGTTAAGTTTCTCAATATCTAGAACCATCACGCTTTTCATCACTGGGTCCGGATTTACTAAACTATTTAAATAATTAATTACTTTACATGCATGGTTTTGCAGGCTTTACAATTTTAGCAATTTTGTTTTATGGGTGCTGGCCAATACAATATTTTTGTACAAAAGCTGACTATGTACAAGACTAAAGTAAAGCATATTGCGTGATTTACTATCGACTTTAGATATCAAGTTTACTTTCGAGTAAAGGTCTCGACTTATACAAAACACCTATTACAGAGGACACCTTTGTTTCAATATGGTTTCTCCATGAAAAATTTTCATCAAAAAATACTCCTAAAAATTTTGAATATTTTTCACGCTTAATTTTATTTTTATTAAAAAGCAGTTTAGGCAGCTTTAACGGAAGATTGTTTAGTTGTTTTTTTTATGAAAAAGAGTAAAGCTAGTTTTTTCACAATTTAGGGATATATTATTTGCTATGAACCAGAGGTCGAAATTTTAGAATTCAATATTCATAGTATCAAACAAAGTCTTTGCATCAAGATGATTAAAAAGTAAATTTGTATCGTCGGCATACAAAATTGTAGATAATTGTTGGAAAGCTTTATGCATATTGGTAATATATATTATAAACAATAATGGATATAGGATTGAACCCTGAGGAACTCCCCACTTATATCGAGGGCTCCTAACTTTTCTAGTAATACAAATTGCTTTCTGTTAGACAAATAGCTTTTAATACACTTAAATGTTGAGCCTATTATACCGTAATAATTTTAGCTTGGAAAGTAAAATCCTGTGATCAACTGTATCAGAGGCTTTTGAAAGATCAATAAACACTCCGAATACCAGTTCATCACTATCAAACGACTTATATATATTTTGTCAGAAAGTTTAATAATAGCATGTTCAGTAGAGCAATTGCTTTGAAATCTAAACTGGTTTTTGTATAATAATTTGTCTAATGTAAAGTAATTATAAATTCTATTATAAACTACTCTCTCAAATACTTTTGAAAATACTGTTAGAAACATTATTTCAATCATCTTTTTTGAAAATCGGATTAATTTTGGCTAATTTAATCTTGTCAGGGAATATACTATTTTCAAATGAAGATGATATTAAATGAAATAATGGTTTACTAATGATGTCTATAACATAAATAGCTACATTACTGAAAATACCTTCATACCCACATGACTTGTTGCGTTTAAGTTCAATAATTACTTTGTTAAATTCAAGTTAAGTTTTCTTTTCATTATTTATACTAATGTTGGGTTTTTTTACACAAAAAATAATAAAATGTTTTATTTGGTTGCACAATGTTAGAAGAATTGTTAAATTCTTGACATATATTAGTTTCGCTTGTTATATTTTTTTTTTAATCGGAAATTAGTTTTAGTGGTAAGCAAGTGTGCTTCTTTTTTTCTTTTCCTGTTAGTTCGTTTATAACAGCCCAAGTCCTCATTATGTTGAATTTATGCTTATCAAGCTAATTAGAAAAACACCTTATTTTTGCTTCTTTTATACTATGTTGAAAAAACATTTTATAATTTTTGTAGATTTTTTTTATCGTCTTTTTTTTTTTGATTTCAAAAATTTTACGTAAAGTTTTTTTTTCTTTTTGATGCTCCGAATAAAGTTGTTGTCATCCATGGATTCTTATACCATTTTTTTTTTTATTTCAGTAGTTATTTTTAGGCCTATATTATCGAAGATATTTTGAAATGGACTTGAGAAATTATCAAATGCAATATTAGGATCTGTTGATGAATAAAAGTTATCCCATCGTTCTATTTGCTGTTTGTTTTTGAAATTATTCAGGTTTTTATACAAAGATTTATGTAAGTCACAAAGCATTTTTTATTGTTAATATTAAATAGTACTTCGCGTGTTATAAGGAACACCGAAAAATGATCGGAAAAGCCTGCAATAAAGAGGCCTGATTCAAACTTAGTATTTAGGGAACTGTTTGTTAATAAATTGTCAATCACAGAAGATGATTGATTAGTAATGCGCATGGGCTTAAATATGGTGGGTATTATATTAAATTCAAACAGTAAATTGAAAATTTGCGATCCTATTTGCTTATAAAATTTAGCGTTGCGTAACTTATAGACATTCACTTAGCGAAATATTTTCACAATAAGATCGCCTTTGATTTACTTTGGCAAATAATTTTTTTCGAATAGCTCTCTTAAACACAGATACCTTCGTTAATAAGTCGTTTTTAAAGAAGGTATTAGTGTTTTTTAGACGACATGATTCTTTTAATATTTTTATTTTCTCATAGTATTTTTGTTAGTTAAGCACTAATTTTACTTTTGTAAGTTTAGTATTAATTTCATGACTTTATCAAAAATATATAAGAACTTTGTGTATGAGGGCTTTTAGTTTTTTTATTTCAAAATACACTTGCCATCAACAACTTGAAACATATAAGCGCATATTTTTGTTTGATGCATATAAACGAAATATTTAGTTCTATTTTAATTAAAATTCATAAACCTTTTTCAAAACAAATTTTCAAACCTTTTGCTACGATGAACCTAGGACAAAACATCAACTTTTTATTTAGGCCCAAACAAAAAGGTTATTTAGACCCAAACAAAAAATTTAAATTAGACCCAAACAAAAAAAAAAATTAATTTAACTTTTAGATTAATACTTAATTATTAAAAATAGTTTTCTACTATTAAATATCAATATCGAAATTCAGTTTTTCAGTAATATTTATTGCAAAGTTTACGCTTTTAGTAAATTCATTATGAAGGCATAAGCGGATCATTAAATTTTATTAAGTATTTTGCACTTATGCAGGTTTAAAGTCTGAGGTTAAGATAACATGCCTAAATCTCTTTCTCGATTTTGTTGTAAAAATATTATCGTGTCGTCTTCTCTATATCCTTATGAATAATTATTTTAACAAGCAGTAATGACTCGATATTAAATCAAAAAAAAAAAGCACTAACCAATTTCGCAACGTCAGGTTAGCAACATATTTCCATATCAACTTATACTTCTATAATATATATAAACTATAAACTATAGCTATATATCTTTTAAGATTTCTGAGCCGTTTAGAACCTACCATAGTAGCGTCATTTATTTTCTAAACAAAGGTTTTCTTCATCTGAAACTAGATTCAATTCGTTTGTTGATAAAGAAAGATCATTCATTTTTAAACAATTACTATGGTCGACATCAGCATTTTGTAATGAAGTAGTGTCACCCTGTAACGATGAAACATTATCTTGCATCATATCATTTGACAATTTCATTGTGGTATTATAGGATTCGTTATCTATCGAAACTTTATCGTTCTCAATTTCTAAAACGGACGCTATACTCGAACTACTTTCAAGATAACAGATTTGAAAACATTCATCTCTGATGACATCTTCTTCTGCTAGATTACAAGTGTTATCTCTGATGACATCTTCTTCTGCTAGATTACAAGTGCTATCTCTGATGACACCTTCTGCTAGATTACCATCTTTATTGTAATGCTCGTTATTGGTGACATCAACATCTGTTTCAATTACATCTTCCGCAATTTCAGTCACACTTTTTTTCTTTTCGGTATCAAACTGATCCGAGCTTTTTTTCTTTTCGGTATCAAACTGATCCGAGCAGAATTTTTTTTCATCTTCCATTTCATAACGCAGTTGAAATTCTCTAATAGCATCAGCAGTTGCTGAAAAAATGAATATGATAATATAACTTTAGATAAATGCAATAATAATGCTGATAATAGCATATTAAAAATACAAGCACAGTAAAAAGAACTTTTAAAGACTTCCAGTTCGCGATAATCCCAAAATAACTTTAAATCACTTTGAATTATATTTCATTATAAATACTATAAAAAAGTGAAAAATTTATTACCTTGAAAAGCTTGAGGATATGACTCGTTTAGTTTTGTTTTTAACGCTCTAATATATATATATATATATATATATATATATATATATATATATATATATATATATATATATATATATATATATATATATATATATATATATATATATGTATATATATGTATATATATGTATATATATATATATGTATATATATGTATATATATATATATGTATATATATGTATATATATGTATATATATGTATGTATATATATATATATATATATATATATATATATATATATATATATATATATATATATATATATATATATATATATATATATATATATATATAATATATATATATATATATAAGCAAGAGTAATAATTACAAACTCAAATGGTTTGATCATATCAATTAAACAATATAAAAAAAACTTTTTCCGAACGCTTAAAAAAACACTCAAGAAAAGTAACATGTTTTAAAATCAAACATGTTTTAAAATCTACTATTAGAGTATTCAGAGCCAGATTTAGACTTAGAACAAGATAAAGCCATAAGCTATTTGAGATAAGGGATCTTTATATACCTAGATATTCTGCCAATGCCAAACGTGGTTTTTGGAAACGTAGAGTGTTAAATTAAATTGAAATACAATTAAGATGTAGAGAGTGAAGTAATAAATCTTGAACTTAAAATTAATAAAAACTTTAAATCTGGCAAAAAGAAGTTCTTTTAAAGGTAAAATTTACAAAAGCTTATTATGTTATCTCTTAAAACATGTTATAAGGATTAAGGAATGAAAATATTAATTAAATTTTTTTTTTGGACCTTGACAAGACAAAATCAATGGTGACATGATCAAATGATAAACCAAATAGTTAGTTACTTTGTGTAAAGGATTGAGGGAACATGAGGACAGAGGGAGCTTCAGCTAAAAAAATATTTTTATCCAAATCTACTTCTACATTAGGGAATGCTAATTGAACACAACCGTTAAATATTACCCAATACAGATCCTGATGACTTCATGAACCCCTACTGGCTTGACTATGACTAACAAGTTGAGGAAAATGCTTCATATCTTCTACAAGACTAATGACCGCATTTTTGAGGATATGTTTGGCATGTCATAAAGCAAAGTATCATTTTATAGTAAAGTAATATATATATATATATATATATATATATATATATATATATATATATATATATATATATATATATATATATATATATATATATACACACAATTAATTTATTATTTTATTTAAAGCCTTTGCATAAACTAAAAACTTTAGATCAACAATTAAAAGTTATTCATAACATAACGATTTTTTCATTGCGTTTAAATTGCAAAAACATTAAAACAGCTGTGGTCAAGTTGTAAAGAAAAAAAATAGTAAGCATGGTCAGTTATAGTGTGTGATCGCGCACCATTCCTGTCCAAGTCTGTCATTCATGTTAATGTACGGAGACTTCAGCTTCAGTTACACAACGTACAAATAGTTTGACTTAGACGGCGCATCAGCAAAAGTTACCCGTGTACAAAACAAGCATCAAAGTGATATGATTTTCCAAAAATGTATAAACATGAACTTTCTTACAGAAATGGCAACTTTTCATACATATAGAAGAAAAAGAAAAGAAGAGCCAAAAACATATTCGACTTACTTATCAGTGACAAACCAGATCCAATTATTGAACTACATAAAGGTGACTCAATAGGTTACACACCAGCAGGCAATTCACATTGTTTTATTATTGGTTCATTTGCAACAAACAATGACTGAATCACAGAGAAAAATGAAAAAAAAGTACATATGGATTAGAGCAAACTTTGATGTCATCTTAGCACGAATAAATTGCAGCATGCTTCAACTATGACCCAAAATGACTTAATAACCAATTTAAGCATAAGCAAAAGGAAAATGAAATGATGAAATTAATATGAATGGTGGAAGTAATCACTATTAATATTAATTAAATGATGCTGGAAAAATAACTACAAGTATAAGAGAAATTTTAAATTTACTTAATAACTATTTTCTGCATTTGAATCTCTAGATCAAATGCCAAATTTGCCCAAATGCAAGCAAAAAGCGATTTAATTGATATTACAATCACGCAAGCAGCTGTACAGTGAAATCTTGATGAGCAAATCGAAACAAAATCTAAAGGCTAAAACAAAATGCACCCTTGCATCTTTTGAAATTGGACTGCTGCAATCTCCGTACCATTAGCAATGATCTACTACAAGTCTTTCTCTGAAGGCAAAGTATTCAAACTATGGAAACTGTCAAATATAACAGCTATCTTCAAGTCCGGTAGTAGAAAGCACTCCAACTACAGAATTGTATCACTAACATCAATGCAGTGCAAGATAATGGAGAGTTTTATTCATTAGTGAATCATGAAGCACTACTAAAATACCAATTAATATTTTAGCAGTGCTTCACGATTCGCCACCAATGGTTCTTGAACAGATTCCTTAGTGCCTCAGAGTGCTAGGACTGTTGCTCTTCATCCTCTACATAAATCACTAACCAGACAACATAGTTTACCACATCAAGATATATGCTGAGAAATAAGGTGTTATTAAATAAAATAAGAGGTGTTATTAAAACAGAGATAGACAAAACATGTCTCCAGCTAAAAATCGACAAAGAAGTAGAGGGTCTAAAAAGTGAAGAACAAAGAAGGTCTAAAAAGTGGCTAAAACTCAAACAAATGTTAATTTTGTAAATTTAAATTTACAAAATTTAAATTAAATTTTGTAAATTTAAATTTATATGTTTTTTTTTTTTTTTTTTTAAACATCTTCACTTCCACTAATTAGTGTTGGAAGTTACTGGAAGAGAAAAGATGAAGATTGTAGAGCAAGATAACAATTGACAGACGACTTAAAAGATTGCACATTATATGAATCAGGAAAGCAAGATGAAGGAAGCGAATTCCATAGAACTGATGTTCGAGGAAAAAAACTAGACAAATAAGAGTTTTTGGAGCACTTAGGAACAGTAACAGAAAAAGGATGAAACAATTGAATGATGAGTAACACAAGAATGAATTTTAGTAGATGGCACAAGAGACGCTAGCTCTTTAGAGCAGTGCCCATTATAGTATTTGTAGAAAAGAGAAAGAGAAGCAACATTACGACGATGTGACAGAGGTTGAAGGTTGGCTCCAAGAGCAGGTCCAACAATGTTTACAATGCGTTTTTGCACCTTGCCTAAAAGAGAAAGGGCATCATTAGAAGATCCACCCCAGGTATGGCAACAGTATTCCATAGAGAATAGAATCCATAGTAAGAAAGTGACGAGCTCAATAAAGAGAAGCGACTTTAGCAGATAATAATTTTGAAACGGATTTGATATAACGTTTCCAAGAAAGATCAGAAGTAAGAGTTAAACCTAGAAGATGAAGGGTAGGAGACTCATAGAGTACATTACCGTTCATAAATATAGGAAGATCTAAATTATTGCGATAACGATTGGCTGAAAAAAATTGAGCTTTATCTGAATTAAAGTTCACCAGGCACTGTGAGCCCCATGCTGTAGCAAAAGTGAGATCCTTTTCAGGCTCAGATGCCCCCTGCAAGCAATCAGAGGGAGTTGGCTTCTTATCATGACAAGAATAAATGGTAGTATCATCAGCGAACAATTCCACCTTAGATGTGAGAAAATCTGGAAGATCGTTAATGTAAATTAAAAAGAGTATAGGGTCAAGGATTGAACCTTGAGGAACCCCTGAGGTTATAGTATAAGAAGAGTGCTGTCCATCAAGGACAACTTTTATACTACGATTGGAAAGAAAGGATTCAATAATCTTAAAGATGTTTCCAGATACACCGTAAGAAAAAAGCTTATGGAGAAGACCAGCATGCCAAACTTTATCAAACACTTTAGAAATGTCAAGAGCGATGGCCTTAACCTCTCCACCTTTATCTAAAGCGCGATAAAAGCTATCAGTTATTACTGTTAGCAAATCAGCTGTAGAACGAGAAGATTGAAATTCATATTGATGATCAGAAAGTAGATTATGAGATTCGAGATGAGAGATTAAGTGTTTGTTAATTAAAGATTCAAAAACCTTGCTTATGATAATAAAAAGACTAATGGGACGGTAGTTAGACGAATTTTTAAAAATAGGGATTTTTTAGACGAATTTTTAAAAATAGACGAATTTTTAAAAACAGATGCTGCTTTCCAGCAGGCTGGAAAACAAGACTCTGATAAGCACTTGTTAAATAGTTTTAAAAGGATAGACAACAGCTCCGGAGAACACTTCTGGCCGCAAGCTCTAAGCAGGAAATCACTTTAGATACAGAAGCTGGAGTGATACGGATTTTGAGCAGTAGATCAACCTGTTTGACAGCTATATCAGGTAGAACGCAACTAGTGGAATCAAGAGATGATATTGATGAAAAGTTTTTGGCAAACAATTCACCTTTGTCTTTAGGTGAGGTGACAAAGTCTGAACCGTACAAAAGAGGTGGAATTACATTCTTGCCCTTATTATTGATACTATTAAAGATTCTCCAGAAGTCACGAGAGCCTAATTTTTGTGATGAAATATGAGATTTCATGATCTGACAATAGCGGGCTTTGGCGTTAGACAAAACCTTTTTACAATAGTTCCTAGCAGTACTAAACAGACGTCTGTTTTCTGGAGAATTGTTTTGCTGATAGATACGGAAATAACAACCAACAACAATGATGTTAGCTGAAAGATAAAATGGCTTGGTCAATTTGATCAGAAATAACATCGAAAAGAGTGCAGTCTTGAGATAAAGGATAGCAATATAGAACAAAGAGAAAGGTATCAGAGTGAAGTGGTGCTAAACAAAAGCACATAAAAGAGTAGTCTGTGGATTCAAACCTAGTTTCCCGACAAATGGGTGAATTCTTACGAATGTAAATGCCTAGGCCAAGCATGTGACATGTATAATACGATATTTAATTGATAAATGACACTTTTATTTGATCCTCTACTTTACATTTCTAATGATCATTCATTACTGACCTCTAACTATTGACCTCTTATGGAAACCACATATACAATCCATTTCAAAGTTATTATCTGCCAAAGTTTTCTCTCTTTATAGTGGTTGCCATTTTTTAACTCCTGATTCTATTGTCTACCTTTATTCACATCTTATTCATCCTTGTATGGAATACTGTTTTTATAGATGGTTTGTCTACTTGTATTTGTCTAATACCATTTTTCTGACTTTTGTAACCAACTTGGCTCATATATCAATAGTATTACAAATCACAATAAAAAATATTTAATACAATTTTAAACTCTGATACTTTTGGTTTTTTAAATTAAAAAAAACTTTTCTTCTAGTGCTTTGAAAGTTGAAGCCTTCTAGCGCTTTCAAAGATGTGGATGGACTTAGTGGTTGCAATTACAATTTTTAATTTGACCAAGTTTTTATTTAGAAATTAGATTTTTTATGCAAACCTTTAGTCAATATATTTTTGAACATATTTAATATGTTTTTTCCAAAAGAGATTTATACTATTGAATTCAGTGAGTCATTAAATTTGCTTAAAAAACCTAAAGTAGGAACATTGTGTTATTGTTTTTACACATCTGCAATTTTTACCTGAGTATTATACAAGTAAAATTTTTATCTGTGTAATATATATTCAAAATCTTTGAGACAAATTATTAAAAATTAAAAAAAAACAAAAAAAAAAAACACATCAACTATTGCAACTTTGAGTTATGAGTTTTTTTTCTGAAATTATAAATAAAATAATCAAATAATAATTATAACTATTAATAATTATTTGGAGATGGTATCTCTCCTTTTCCTTTATTTTTTAAGATTTTCCCTCCTTTACTTTTATTTGTGTTTATGCTGTGCGACTAGTTAAAAAAAATAAAAACCACCAAATTTGTCACTCCACACAAATTTGTAAGTGCGACAGCATTGTAAAAAATTGTGTTGAACCAATCTCACCCAAACTTACCCACAATAAACATAAATTAAAACCAGTCAATGTTACCTAATTTTTTTAAATGTTAATTCTAAATCTTTTTGAAGATTATTCAATGTCTTTATATGTGTAGCATAGCTTACTGAAAGCTTTTTATAAGTAGTATCGGAGAGGTTTAAAAATTGACGCATCATCTCATTTGTCTCTTCATACTGATGTAATCTAAAAATTAAAACTTTTTACTTTTTCTAAAACTTTTTTAAATTTTCTAAAAAACATTGAAAACAAAAAAAATTTCTTTAAAAATTTACTAAAAAGCATAAAAATAAAATATTTTACTGTCTTTATTAGAAAAAAATTTTCTAAAAAATATATAAAATAAATTTTTTTACTGTCCTACTTAAAAAGTTTTCTAAAAAACAAATTATAAAAAAAGTTACGTTGATTTTTGAGTAGATATAATACCACTTGTGTCTTTGGATTGTGCCAAACCACTTAAAAGTGATATAAGCTCATTACGTTGATAACCTTTATTCAAATCCATTTGCAAACCAGATGTATATTTCCAAAACTAATTCAAAAGTTTAGAATTAAAAACATCTGTCTGATAAACTTGTTAGAAAAACATCTAAAAGTTTTGTAGACTTCAAAAAACATAAACAGCATAAAAAAAAGTTATTTTTTATGCTGTTTATAAAAAACAAAAATTAAATTAAATAATAAAGAACCTTAAGATCGAACAACCAAGTAAATCAAAAAAATCTCATCCATTCAAAGCAAATGTATTCATCGATTTAATGCTTTCCAACTTGGCAACAAATAATTCTTAATAATTGATGTTAAAAAATATCTTAAATACATTTTTACACCATTTATATATTCTTACATTTTAATATATATAATATCAGTTATATAAATATAATTTATAAAACTATTTTTAAAAACATAAAAAAAATTGTATTATTATTATATATTGTATTAAAGCATATCATATTTATATCAAATATACAAAATGATAAAACCAGTACAAATTATTAGACGTAGTTTTTTAATGACTTGTTTTTTTATTTTTATTTTATTGTTTATTTTGCTTGAGGTTATGTGCAATAAAATTATATATAAATATTGATAAAATGAATTTTTAGTTTTATCAGGAATTTTTTATTCAGGTAGTTTGTTTAATACTTTAAATTTGTATTTATTATTAATGGCACCGCAATGTTAAGAAATAAATACTTTAAATTTGTATTTATTATTAATGGCATCACAATGTTAAAAAATTAATAGATAAAAACGTAAACAAGTACAAACCGTTCAAGTTAGTTGCAGACATGTTGTTATGGCTTTGTGTGCTGTGTTTATTTGATTCCCAGTTTTCTACTACACAGATTGTTTATTTTGTGTGCAGTGTCTTAATCAATCGGAACATTTCATGTAAAAAAAAAAAAAAGCGATCAGTAAACAATTTTAATTTTTTGCTTTAAATTTTGCTCTTTAATGCTAAAATAATTTCAAACAAAATATCGTAAAGATTGACAGTTTATCGTAAAGATTGACAGTTTGCTTGATGATTAAAAAAAATTTCGCTTGTTAATTAAAAAAATATATTAAGAAAAGAATCGAACCATAAACAAAAAATATGTCAAAAATCCTTTTTTTTTACTCTAAGGTAAGATGTTTTAAGAAAATTTGCCTGAAAAACAGATTTGTAACCACAAAACTGATAAAATTCCAAGAAGTGAATGCATTAAAAAATTAAAGAACTTTTGGCACTGCTGGTCTGCTGGAAAATACAAATTAACAGCTACAATGAAAGTAAAGCATTGGAAGTGAGCAAACAAGATGAAGCTCCTTGCCACACAACATGATCTGTTAAAGCTTTTTAAAAGAGCAAAATATCCTTTGTTAAATTGGCTGGGAAAAAGCCCAGATATAAAGTATATTGAAAATGGGTGGTAGCTGATGCAGCCACTTCCACAGTAGTGGCAAAAGTGGCACAAAAAAAACACGCAGTTCTTAATAAAGATTATTCATGTGTGGAATCGTCATCTTTAAATGCAGAAGACAGTACAGCTTTGTATTGGTAGCATGCCACACATAATTAAAGCTGTAATTGCGGCTTAAGGTGGTTTAAAAAAAAATAAAAATTGATTGCTTTAATTTTAATTTTTTCTGAGTTAATAAATACTTAATTTTCCTAAAATTACGGTGTCTTATTTGTGTTAAAAAACAAGTAATAATGAGGATAAAAAAAGTATAGATTGTATTTTTTAAATATAATCAAGTCATATAGTATTGTCTGATAGTTAGAAACTAACATAAATCTTAGAGTGCATCTAATAATAAAGACATGGACTGCATTGTTTTATTATTATTATTTTACATTAACTATTTTAAATAGTTATAGAGCAAATTTAATTTAAAATTTTATATATATATAAAATATATATGTATAAAATATACATGTATAAAATCTTATATCAGAGCATATTAATATGAAAATCATATACCAGAGCATATCTAAAATATTTTGGTATTTGATTTAAAGAATTTATAAAATTAAATTTTTTGAATGTTTTGGTGAAAATTGCCCTGATTAAACCTTGGGAATAAAAATAACCTAAAACTCACCATGCTCAATAAGAGGAATTAGTTTTTCCGCAAATATTTTCTTAAATAAGACTAAAATTTTATATTTGAATAAACTTTAATCTAACCCATTTAGAAATAGAAATTAGAAGTTGCCCAAGTAATGTGTAAATATGTAATATACATCGATTATATTTTTCACAAATATGTATGTATGTATGTATGTATGTATGTATGCAACCCTCAGAATTAGGGTAAACATTTGGTAATGCTGACCTAATTGCCAACCCAAAAGTTACTATGTTTTATGGTAACTCCTTCATGTCAAATTTTTTTTTGCTGACCTGATGCCACCGATTATCAACAAAAAGGCCAACCTCATTTTTCCTAATTCGGAGGGCTGTGTGTGTATGTATGTATTTTAAACTAAAAAAATCATCTTTTAAAATTAAAGTAATAATCCAGGTTATTTGGAAATACATTTAAAAATCAAAACCTAAACAATTTTGTTAAAATCTTTTCATTGTGATCAATAAAATTTATTTACAATCAAAAATAAATTAATAACTATGACAAATAAAAAAATAATAAAAAATTACACTCTTAATTTAAAAAGAAAATAAAAATCTATAGCTATTCGCTTCCCCATCCATCATCATCCCAAGCAGTTGGTTCATCCTAAAACAAAATAAAAATCATTCAAACAAAAAATTGCAACAAAAATTTGCAGAAGATATATAGAAAAAGAACACCTACCTGAAGTATCTCGGTAACTGCAAATTTTGAACTAACAGTTGGAACAGTATTTATATCAATAACTACAGTTTTTATTTCATTTTTAAAATTTGGAACCATATCAACAAAATAATCTGGTTCTGCTAGTTTATTCAACACTTGGATGTCAAACTCACTTCCTAAATCTTTTTTAAGATTCTTTTCTTTTATTGAATTATTATTTATTGTAGTATTGTTTTTAAAAATATTTTTTTCAGATTTTGTTTGTACAGTTTGAATAATGCCATCATTCTCAATAGATTTTGTTTGTACAGTTTGAATATTGCCATCATTCCCAATAATTGTTGGTAAGTGCAAAGTATCGAGCTGAAATGACGACTCTGTAAAAGAATTGTCTGGCTGTAACTGGTTGCTTAGTAATAGTTTTGAATTTAATGTTAAAGCATTATTATGATGATTTGATTTAGAACTTATATCAGTTGAATTCAGATGACTAAATTTAGTATTGTTTTTTTGATTATCATTATCCCAATTCCAATTATTTTCGGTAAGATCTTCTGTTTGCGGATCTCTTTTGTTCTCTTCTCTTGACTAAATCATTTAAAAAAAATAGTTTAAGATAACAAGTAAAAATAATATTGCATTACATTATATAATATTTCATATACATCAGATCCGCTGCTTGAAAATTCTTCAAAACCTTCCCAATCTGGATCTGATTGATTACCAGTTTCATCTTTATTACCTTCAGTTTTAGCAGTTTCATCTCCTTCAATTTCAGTGGCTAAGAAATAATAAAATTATGTTCAAATTAAAATATTCAGATACCTTTCAATAAATCATTATTCACAAGTTCCTCTCAATAAAAATTTGAGGAAATTCATGCGTAATAAAACAAATTAAAAACTCTAGCATTTTACCATAAATATTAAATACCCTAAAATAGGGTGAGTTGAAACAGTGGGGGTAAGTAGAAACAAAATTATTATACAATACAAATAAAAAATTTATATAACAATTATATAGTTATTATTTATGTTGGTGAAAACATAAATAATAACTTCAACTGTTGGTGAAAACATAACATCACTTCAAACTAACAGGAAAGTATTTTTATTTTATTTATCTAGACAGCCAGTTAATGTTCTATTCAGATTAAGAACTTTATTTTACTGCATTTTGTATATACTCTAAACTTATCAAGTCAAATTCAATACTATTCAAAATAACTTTATCAAAGTTTTTTTAGAAGTCACTTCATAAAAATCATAAATAGCAGAAGCCTAATATAAAAAAAGGAAAACCTATAGGTGTTACATTTTAAAGTTAACTACCTTAAAGATGACACTTTTGTCTGAACATTTATGAAAGGAATGTTACAAACACATAATTTAACAATGACAAAAATAGAATATTTTATCTCCAGAAAAGATGTGATTTTAAAACTGTCATCGCCAATTCTGAGATCAAATTCATTTTCAAAACATACTTTATTTCAAAGATTTTAAAATGAAGTATGTTTATAAGTATGAAGTATGTACTTTTTTCTTAAGTACAAGTTTTATATACTTATATTTTATACTATCTATAGTATACATGAATTATTAAATTTTTTAACAATTAAACTAATAGAAGATTGATTTTTTCTGCATCAACTCACCTAAGGGCTAAAAAAACAAAAAAACTTGAATTTAAAGACCTGTTTCTACTCACCTCATTCTGTAGGGTAAGTAGAATCAGGAGGTTATCTATGTGTGTATGTATTTTTTTTTTTTGAAGAAAGGTAGCAAAGCAAAAATATCATAAACTGATGGCAGCACTACAACCTAAATTTTTATGTTGCAATGCTAGATGCTACAACTTTAACTTACATTGATTAATTTTAGTTTGAAAACTGTCATGGCGTAGTTTTCTGCGCTGTTCTCTTTTAATTTTCTGATTTTCTCGCTGCTTTTCTCTTTCCAGTCGTTGTTGTTTCTTTTTTTCTATGCAGTCATCAGACTTTTCCATTGATGATGATGAATTTAAATGTTCAAAAGAATTATGCATCAGGAAAACTAAAAATAACTTGAATAACTAGAATAAATGTGATAAGATAAAACTATTATTATTATCTATTAGGTAAATACTATATAAGATCGATCAGGTTGACATATATCAGTAACAAGCGAATTTAATTTTTTCTTAACTGTGCACATTTATCTGTAGAAAAGAACAAAAAAAAAAATTAAAAATCATTTAAACTTTTTATTGTTATTTATTTTACACAAAGCTTGTTTACACATTAAAAAAAAATTGACACATAAAAACATAAATTTCGTTTTCACAAGTATTTTTACATATATGTATATCAATAAATATAAATATATCACAAACTCTTCCATTGTAGTCAAAGTTTTTTAATAATATACAGCTTTAAATCTAACTTTAAAAAATGTTAGAATAGGGTTAGAAACCGAGGTTAAAACCCGAATAAAATAAAAAACTTTCTTTTAATTGAAAGATTGCTTGCCTAAACCCTTAGTTGATGTATGTAAACCGTACAGTGTTTAAGTCAATATTTATCACTGTATATACTCCAAAGCACCTATAAGCTAATGTATGTACACTCTGTTACATCTATGGTTATATCAGTTAAATATATATATATATATATATATATATATATATATATATATATGTTACCATAAATCAGGAATTAATATTGTTACCATAAATCAGGAATTAATGAAAAATAAATTATTTTTGTATTAGGATAGATATTTCTGTATAAACTACAGAAATCATAGTTTAACTAAATCGAAGATCTAAGCAAATATAACAAAACTGTATACTTATCTCAAAATAACCAATTTTGCACTTATTATAATTGTCCAATGGCCACAGATATATATATATATATATATATATATATATATATATATATATATATATATATATATATATATATATATATATATATATATATATATATATATATATATATATATAATAATTTTAGGTTTAATTTCATAAAAAATAGAGTTTTTTAAAAAAAAATTAAAAAAGTGCATTTTTTAAAGTTTTTTTATAATAATTTTGATAAATCAGTTGAAAAAAATATTTTTGTTAAAAATAGTTATTATTTTTGAAATTTTTATATAATTTCGCTTCATTTGAGTACCAGGTTGACCTATTTTTAATAAACTTTTTTTTTTAAATATAAGGGACCCATTAAATATTCAAGGGTCTTGTACATATACATATGTATATATGTAAACAATTTAAAATGTATTCTACAAAAAGATGTATATATGTATATATAAATACATACATATATATATATACACACCCAAACACACACTTCTGAAATAACTAACTGTGGGAGTTTCAGTACATAGATCAGGGTTTGGGGTTTGGCAGATACCCTATGCAAGGCTTTTATTAAGGCAGAAAACTTTTTTTTGTTCCTTATTATTATTATTTTTTTCTTTCTTTTTCTGAAAAATAAAGTGTACACATTTTGAGAATTGAAGTGCAAATAAATAGGAAAATTAGGAAATTGCAACCTTATATAAATATAAATAAAGATCTTATATAGATTATATAAATAATATTGAATGTATATTGAAGAATAAAATACATTTTCCTTGGTTTAACCACTTAATTATAAGATAGTAATAAATAATTAGTGACTTATAAATAAACAAATTATCAACATTATTTTAAACAGATAAGTTGAAAAATCCTTCTGGAATTTAAAAAAACTTTTATTTTATTAAATTATATTTTTATTAAACTTGAATTTAAAAAAACTTTTATTTTAATCAGAAAATTTGCATTAAAAAATAAAAAAAAAAATAAAGCAAAACAAAACTTAACCAAACTTTTAGATATACAAAATTAGGCCAGTTTAATCATATAAAATTTAAACTTACCCTGGCTTGTTGTAAGTGTACTGTCATCTGCATTGCGAGTAAACTATAAAAATTTAAAAGAAATTTTAGTTTTACAAACTAAATTATATATCAACATGATTGGTTAAAAATTGGGTAACTTTAAATTAAGTTTTCTCAAAAACCACTTAAATCAATTAGAATGATTTATTTTTTAAATGATGCATACATATTTAGTTTTTAACAAATATAAATTAAGCCTAAATAATAAATTTACAACATGCAGAAAATATGACAATAAACTTACGACAAGCAAGCAATTTAAGTTTTTGTTTAGTACCTGCCATCATCTCCACAATTTTACTTTGCACCACTTTTTTTGTAGTAACAAACAATAAATCTCAGAGATTTTCAACACAATTTGTGCATTTGCCTTTCCTCCTCAGTATTTCCTGAACAATTGCTCAATAAGATTCAATGACTCACAGCTCAGGACAGTTTGGTGGATTGTCATTCTTTGGAACAAAATTAGATATACCTTTCTTATATAGTGCATTACTTTTTTGGAATAGTGAATCAATGCCAGATCTGGCCAAAATAAGGTTGGTTGTTTGTATTTTTTAAGTAGAGGAAGAAGTTGTTTACCTGGGCATTTAATTGCGTGGATCTGGTGTCGGGGATTGATTTGTTATGAAAGAAGAACTTTTGAAACTACAATTGCGAATAGCCTGACATGAGGAATTTAGAAGCAAATTTTTCAAATCAAAAGTACTTAAATTTGTCAAACATTTTAATGAATGTTCACCTGAAATCTGTAATAACTTTAAGTGGTCATAGCATCAACAGCATTATACATTTTTTTAAAATACAAAATGTTTTAAAAAAGATTATTTAAGACTTAATTAAAAAAACATTTATTGATTTTCAATTATGTTATTTCTTCTTATTGATTCAGATGATGTACAAGGGTTTGGCCAACTTTTTTAAAATAATATTCTATTGAGCTGAAACAAACTTCTTTTGAGCTGTTAAGGATTTTCTGCTTTTCTGCTTGCCATTCATTTTTATAAACTAATCCTTATAAACTTCATTATGGAGCATTGGTAGAATTATCTTTTTTTGGTAATAAAAAAAAAATCTACCAATGGTTATCAGTTTGACCTGGAATCTTCATTTTCTTACTTTTTAAAACATTTGTTATATATTGATTAAATACTGTCCAGATTTCAAAACCCGCTATAACATTTTGAATAATAACAGCATTGATTGCCTGGAAGCATCAAGTAATTTTTTTTACAAAAAATTTCATTACCTAAAATGTAAAATTTTTATTCATCATTAATTTAAGCTTGCTTTAAGCCTGATTATTTTAAGCCTGATTATTTCAAGTCTGATTGCCTTGATTCTCCATCAATTGACTTTTTGACCTCTTTTTAAAGTAATTTTTAGAATTTTCATTTTTGAATAATCTTTGAACTAAAGACTTACTGCATTTCAACTTTAGGGCTAAATGTTGTGACCAAATTGGATTTCTATGAATTGAGTCAACTATTGATTTTGCCTTTTTTTAGCAATAAATCTTAATTTTCCACAATGTTTACAGATTTATTCTCTTTATAATATTTTATAACATTTCTAACAGTTGATTTTGGAAATTTGAAGTCATTAAATATGAGAACGATATATTTAAACAGATGTAAAGAAATTTTTTTTTCAATTTTGTAGACAAAACTACACACACACGCACACACACACAAAACTAATTATGTAAGTATCATTATAAAAAAAATCATTACAATTAAGTGATTTTTGTGAAAACTTAATTTGAAATCATCTAAATATCAACCAATTATGGTGATATACTCTATTTTTTACTTAAAGAGATTTAATAAAAAACAATAAAAATATGTGTTTACATCTGGTTTCATATCATAGAAATATTTATAAAATTGACCACCAACAACTGTCTTTCCTCCAAGTAAAGGTACCAAAGCTGCTAATGCCTGAAATGTAGCAGCCACAATTGCATCATTTGAATCCTTTAAACCAATCACCAGCTAAAATTATATATACATTATATGTATATGTACACACATATATATATATACACGCATACATATACATATATATACACACGCATACATACATACATACATATATATATATATATATATATATATATATATATATATATATATATATATATATATATATATATATATATATATATATATATATATATATATATATCTGTCAAAAAAAGCAATTTTTTATATATATTGTTTCCATGTAAGATCTGAAGTAAGAGTTAATCCAAGTAGATTACCGTTCATAAATTATTGTGATAACGATTAACTGAAAAAAATTGAGTTTTATCTGAATTAAAGTTCACCAGCCTTAGTGAGCCCCATGCTGTAGCAGAAGTGAAATCCTTTATTTGAGATAAGGGGGTGGGGGTTTGCATAGTATAAAATTGTATATTTTGTACATTAGTTCGTAATTGTTATTTTTTAACATATTTTTTTATATTTGGCGGAGTTTAAAATAGCATAAGTTATTATTATAATTTACAGCTTAAGTTTAAAATTTAAGTTGCAGTTATAGTGTAATGTGCAAATAACGTATTTAAAACTATTAAGATATTACTATTAGTAATTGTTTTTACTTAACATGATACTTAAAAAAGTAAAAGTAAAAAAACGAAGTATAAAAACGCAAATATAATACTATTTTAACCACTTTAATTAGCCATAGAAAGCTATTTAATACGTTCATGCTGACGATAAAACACGTATTAAAAAATATTTAACTGTTATTGTAAAAAGCAATAAAACAACAATAAAACAAAATGCAAAGTTGTTTTAACAATATAAAGAACTTATATTAATGTAAAACAACTTCGTGATGCTGTTTTGTTGCTATTTTATACAGTTTATAACATTAAAAACATAAAACGCGTTTAAAATAAAATGAAGTAAATAAATAGCTCCAATTAATAAATTAAAACATTATCTCCATAAAACTTTAAACTTCATATTTGCGCAAAAACATGCCTATAGACCATACAAGTCTACAACCTATAGATTATACGAGTCTATAACCTATAGACCAAATGATTATTCATTCAAAGCAAAAAAATATTAGATACCACATTTTTTATAATTTATTGCTTCTTGATCTAGCGTACTATTAAAAAATTTAACTATAAATAAGTTTTTCACTCAAATGATTTTTAAGTTGATGTTTTTATTCAAACTTTTCATTCAATTTGTTTTGTAATAATAAAAAAAAAATTAAAACAAAAATATTTGGTTTAATAAATCGAAATATATTTCCTTAAGTTGAAGAATATGTAAGACATATATTTAACTTTCAGCAACAATTCTCACCATGCTGGGTATTACGGATTGAGTATTAAGGACGCTACTGAATTGAATTTATAATTATTGAGCGTTAAGATTCTTTTAAATTTTTTTTTTTATTTTCAATTTAAAATTTCAATAGCAAAATTATTTGAATAAGAGAATTTTAGAAGACTAAAATTCTTTTGTTGAAATAGATTTCTTTTTAAATAAAATTTTTAACTAGTTATTTTAATTTAGTTTAAAGGTAAATTTACTGTAATGAAGGGGAAAGTCGAGTAGCCCCAGACAGCAGGTAACTCGGGACACTTGATGCACAACTTAAACTAAAGAAGCTATGTGATTTTAAATACTATAAAAGCATTTTTTGAGTAAAAATATGGTATATGCAAAATATCTATCATAATATGCTGAAATGAATAAAATTATGTTTTCAAATCTTGTTTCCCACCACCAGAAGAGTGATGCATCATCATGTTTGGTTCACATATTATTATATATAATTTTTATGTAAACTAATAACTTTTTATTGATTAAAGATTTTTATCTATTGATATAAAGATATTTATTGAAAATAATTTATTAAAAAGATATTAAAGATATTTGTTAAAAAGTTTGTTTAATACCTTAATTTACTGGTTTTAAAACTAGTATTTATGAATGAGGTATGATCGGGAAGTATTGGACACATGTTTGGAGGATGGTTCCAGACAACTTAATCCATTTACATATTAAAAATGAGCAACTTTTTAATATAAATAATAATACATTTAACATAATACACAAACCCATAATAGTAATTCATTTAATTCCAATAAAAAAGACCTAAGATTAAAAAAAAAGTGTTTTTAAAGTGTTTATTTTCATTAGTAAAAAGCTAATGTTTATATTTCTAAATGATGACATTTTCTTTCCCATTTATATATCAAAGGAAACCTTTTAAGGCAATTTTTTTTTCAATGCGTTGAGGAAATTCCAATACTAATTAATTATGTATTATATTTGTGACACAAGGGTAAAAAAGAGGTAAAGTCATGGTTAAACTATGTGTCCGGGGCTACCCTCCAATTTTGAAACATGCCTTTTTCCCAACATTTTTTCTTTTATATTTTGTATATTATTAAGGTACACAATAATTATTAATTTTTTCTAATTCAATAAACAAATGTTTATCCATTCAGTAAATCAAACTTAATGTAACTTTAAAATAATAATGACTTCCATGTAGAGATTTAAAGTAATTTAAATTCAAAAGCACCTTATGCTAAATAAAATCTTTGTGCAAAAAGACCAAAGATTGTATTTCTACTCAAAATTTAGCATGACATAACTTTATGACCCCTTATAAAATACTTAGACAAAAACATTACTTTTTAAAATGACCAAAAAAATTGAGAAAAAAAAAATTAACAAAAAAAAAAAAAAACAACAAAAAAACAAACAAATTGCAAAAAAAAATTTTTAAGAAAAAAATAATCATGAAGGTGTGAAAAGCAATGGCAATACACTTAATTCAAGCCCTGATATATATATATATATATATATATATATATATATATATATATATATATATATATATATATATATATATATATATATATATATATATATATATATATTTGCAATTTGTTTGTTTTTTTCTTTCTTTTTTTTTTTGTTAATTTTTTCTTCTTCTCTAATTTAGCATTTTCTTGGCCATTTTTAAAAGTAGTGTTTTTCTATAAGTATTTTATAAGGGGTCATAAAGTATGTCACGCTAAATTTTGAGTAGAAATACAATCTTTGGTCTTTATATATATATATATATATATATATATATATATATATATATATATATATATATATATATATATATATATATATATATATATATATATATATATATATATATATATATATATATATATATATATATATATATATATATATATATATATATATAAATATATATATATATATATATATATATATATATATATATATATATATATATATATATATATATCAGGGTTGGCAAAAAAACCCAACCCAAAAAACCCACCTTAAAAAAATCCAATAAAAACAGAAATATATTTGGGTTTTTTAAAATGTCTTATTTTACAACTGATAACTCTAATATTACCACTTATAAATGCTCTATTATTAGCAAATGGAACTTTGATGCTGTGATTACTCTTGTAAATACTGCATTTATATACAAAATGGTATTTAGAATATATCCAAAACCAATCAATCTGTTTTTGTAGAAAGTTGGTTATTTATTTATTTTTTAAAACATATAGCAAGTTATTATATTATTGAAATATGTATTAAAACATTTGATAAGTTAAATACTTATAAAGGAAATAAAAATTATTCTATTAACTAAATTTTAAATTACAAGACATTACTAGTTATTTAGTATTTTTATTCTCCTCTCGAATGTCAATATTTCCAAACAAGTATTCTATATATGTCATTTTATTTTGGTATTTGATCTTTTATTTTTAAAAGCTTATGTTGTAAACTGTAAATTTCAGTACAAAGCCACAAGCAAAATACTATATATAAAAATTGTTAAACTTTATTCACAGTCTAGAAATGGAAAGTTATCCAGCAAAAAAAAAAAAAGCTACAGTTTACTAGACTTGTCTTTATTAAGTGCATGCAACTTTAAAACATAAAAAAAAAAACTATGCTATGTGCAAGCAAGTTTCATTCAATGAGAGAACATGTTGAAAACTTGTATGCAGTTCACAAGGACAAGATTTGTTGGTAAAAATGATACTCATGCTCATTTGTCTATTTTACAGGTTTTGAATGTCTTGCATCAGCTACAAGTTTATAACATGTACCGTCAACAGGGGTCACTATAAACAGCGGGTTGAAAATGAACATCAGTACCAAGTTTGCTAAAAGGTGAAGAAACACATGCAATTGAGTTATATATTGTGTTACTTTGATTCAGTTGCAAAACCGAGCTGGCAAAACATCTCCAAGTAAAAAAAAAAGAATCTGGTGGTGAAGAAACTGTAATGGTTATTAACAAATTCATTTTAGATATTTCAAGAACAATCAAAGCTTAGGCACAAATCCATTTGCAAAACAAATCTCCCCACAATCTAAAAAATAAAAACATTATGAAGTGTCAATATCATTCCGAATTGGCTAATCATTTCTCTCTAATCTTAAACATTTGGATATAATTGCTAAATTATTTTATGTAATTTTGTATAAATAATATTTTAAATATTGGTTACATCATTTAAGTTCTAAATATCCATGTTAGATTAGCTGAACTTCCTGTTTCTGATCATTCTTATGAAGATTGTCAATTGATAATGGAAGCCCAAAAACTTGGCTTACCAATGGAAGCTAATCTTACCATTTTAAAAGTACTATGATCATATAAAGTAAGAAAATTAAGATAATTACTGCATAATGTTGATCAGGCCGATAACTTTTCCAGGAAGCTGGACAGTAGATTACATATACATATACATATACACACACACACATCCACACAAGTATAAATAGTCGTATATACAACTTTAAATGAATGTTTAGATAAGCAGTGTGAAATAGCCTGGTGCCGGGGCCTTAAGTACATATATTGACTATCTTATAGCTTGCTGCTGCAAAAGAGGATATATATGTATATACATCTATTATTGTGTATATAGACATACACTTGTTGGCTTTTTATGGTTACTTTTTTGGAAAAAGAAAAAAATGAAAAATAACAAAAAGAAAAAAAATTGCTGCCCCAGCCCAAATCTTTAGCCAATGTAGAGGCACATTCATCCCTTGCACATTCTACCTATTTGTCAGTTAATGTACGCACTGTCAAAAATGTCAAAAAAGGCACTTGTATAGTCTTTTATATGCTTCTGGCAGCAGACTGTTTCAGTATGACCCATACTGTACACCTAAACACACAATTAAAGTTATGTGTATATATATATATATATATATATATATATATATATATATATATATATATATATATTTATATATATATATATATATATACATATATATATATGTATGTTTATATATACATACATATATATATATATATATAAATATATATATATATATATATATATATATATATATATATATATAATATATATATATATATATATATATATATATATATATATATATATATATACAGTAGCTTTCATAAATTTAGACGCATTCATTTTTTTTTTCATATATGTAAGAAAATACTCAAAATAAAAATAAAATAAAAGTGCTACCGCTATGTTTGATATATAATTTAAAAGAGGAAATGAAACTCTATTATAGAGTACCTTAATTTTTACAGGATGTTTATTACTCATTTTATACCAATTAACACAAAAAAGTTAATTGATAAACTTGATTTTATTTTGTTCATAAATTTAGACGCACAATTAAAAAAGTCTTATATCTTGTTAATTGATAGTTAATTAGTAGTTTTTTTCTTATAATTCTCATTAATAGGCCTAAATTAATTGATTTTGTCAAAAAACCTTATATAAATATGACTTACCTGGAATTATTTCATCATTATTTAATAAATAAACAAAAGTTAAGTTAGTTTTGCACTAAAAAAACGTAAAAAATGGGCAAAAGACGTATCACTCAAGGTGAAAGATGGTAAATTATTGCGCACATCAAAGAAGGAACCAAAAGTAATAGAGAAATCGCCAAGTTAATTGGAGTTTCTGAGAAATGCATTCGGACAACGAAACAAAACTTTCTTTACACTGGTGGTGCCAGAGAGAAAACGAGGCCAGGTAGACCCTTGTCAACCACGAGAAAGGACGATAGTGTTCTTTTTAGAGCTGTCAGAGCTAATCCAAGAATTAGTTACAAAGAATTGACGACAGAATTCAATACAACGCGAAATACATCTATTTCTCAAAGCACAGTCCGCCGAATACTTATCAAATACAAGATTGGAGTCTACACTGCTTTGAAGAAACCGCTTCTGCGTCCATATGATAAACAAAGGAGACTAAAATGGTGTCGTGAAAGAAGGTATTGGACAATAGATCAATTGGAAAACATTATGTGGAGTGATGAGAGTAACTTTGAGCTTATCAATTGCAAATCTAACATAACAGTCAAAAGAATGGCTCACGAAAAGTATTACGCCAGGTACATTAGACTAACTGTACAAAGTGGAGGAGGCTCGATAGGAATCTGGTCATGCTTCAATTACAAAGGTGTTGGTATGTGCCAAACATACACCGGAAGAATCAACTCCAGAATATACGTAGTAGTACTGGAAAACAACCTAATTCCATCAATTGACCTGCTTTTGTTCAATGATAAACCATGGAAACTTCAACAAGATAGCGCTACTGCACATACTGCATACTATACAAAGGAGTGGTTCAACGATAATAATATTATGACAATACCGTGGCCTCCATATTCACCTGATTTGAATCCGATTGAAAACATTTGGGCTTGGATTGATCGTGAATTAGCAAAGATTCAAATTTCCACACTTGGTCAGCTGAAGGAATTGCTAAATTATATATGTATATATAATTTAGCATAAATATATATATATATATGTATGTTTATATATATATATATATATATATATATATATATATATATATATATATATATATATATATATATATATATATATATATTTATATATACTATAGCATAAATATATATATATATATGTATATTTATATATACTACAGCATAAATATATATATGTATATTTATATATACTACAGCATAAATATATATATGTATATTTATATATACTACAGCATAAATATATATATGTATATTTATATATACTATAGCATAAATGTATATATGCATATTTATATATACTAATGCATAAATATATATATATATATATATATATATATATATATATATATATATATATATATATATACATATATATATATATAAACCTTTTTTTTAACATTATCTTTAATATGAACACAACATTGAAATATATCTTAAAATAAAAATTTTCTCAAGTCCAGCTTAAAGTTTTTTTTAGTGCTACTTTTAGTTGTGGTAGTTATAAAAAAACTTTTTTTGTGGTTTTTTAAGGTGCTCCCAGAAGTCCTTACAATCTTATCACAGAGCACCAAAGAAGAGCATTTAACTAACAGTAGAGACAACAGTAGAGTTGTGCTAGAAAAATAAAATTTCACACTGGGGTTATATCTACTAGAATTGTTTTGGTTACTAAGATTCTGGATAATTTTATATTGAACAATATTAATAAACGTGTGTGCGTGTATAAGTATAAGATTTAAAAATTACATACTTCTGGTAAAACAACATCTGTAAGAGTTTCTTTTTCAATAGAGAAGCAGTAAAGTGAAAAATATCTGAGAAGGATTAATCTGATTGCAGCATCTCTTGATTCAAATAATGATAAAATGAAAGGCAATGAGTACTTTCTAAAAAAATAACAATAAAAGGAAAGGTAATCAGAAATTCTAAAAGATAATGATAAAATGAAACTCAATGAGTACTTTCTAAAAAATACATTCATTCCTTTTTAGTTTTTTTTATTATAGGTGATAGTAAATCAATATCCAAGTCAAAACATTTTATCATTCTGAATAACCATGTTTGTAATACATATCATAAATTACTAAGTTAATATGAAAGAATTTAGAGATTTTTATGTTATCTTTTTAAAGTCATTTAAAATGCATATAATAACAATAATAACAATAATAGTAAAAATAATAAAACTAAAAGTATAAAAGTATAGTAAAAACAAAGCGTTAAAATTAAAAAATATACTTAAAATTATCAGCACCATAAATAGGGTATGTATTTGGGACAGCAGAATCATCTAAACAAAATGGCAACTCTTTTCTATTAATTTCAAGTAAAATTGCATATTTTTATGAATTCCATTTAACGTATATCAAAGTAAATGCTTATAATGTATGTCAAATAAAAAATGTATATAATGCCTAAATAATAAATGCCTATAATGTATGTCAAATAATAAATTTGGCACAAATATAAAACCTAATCTTCATTTACAAATTAAGACATCAACTAAATGATTTTTTTTTTATAAATTGGCACTTTATATCCTATATATCTTAAAGCAGCGTTGTACCCAGACATAATTCTACACTGTTTGACAAGTATGGATGCCCAAACTAATGCTCTCAAACTGAAAATTCCAAGTCCAACATTAAATAAAAGCAAATAAACGCATTAAAAAATTTTTGTAACTTAAAAAAGATTGTAATTCTTTTATTAATTATTATTTATTTCTTAAAATGATTTTATACACATAATTCATTTGTTTAGTTATTTTAAGTATTCAATGAACTATTTTTATTAAAGCTTGTAAACAAATTATAAATACATTTTATCAGTTACAAATAAGATATTCATAAACATAATTTGTGTTTATAAATAAAACTTATGTCAAACTTAAAGTTTTAATTCCATAAGTAAAAAAAATTCTCTTACAAAAAACACTTCTTAAAACAAAAAAATGAAGTTTTATAGTTGCTTTAACACAATTAAATCTGTGATGTAGACTTTCTTAAAACAACAAGGTTTTTACTTAATGAATTAGTTTTCAAATAAAAAGAAAATAATTATTTTGTTAAGAAGAATTGCAAAACCATTTTATATTCCTTCAAAGTTAAAATTAAATTTATAATTTTTTAAATCATATTTATTTAAAGTTTTTAATTAAAAAAAAAATTTTATAGACTACCTGTTGTTTTTTTTTAATCAAAAAATTAAACTATTTCACAAATGAGGTTAACATGTTTTTCAGAATAATTAATTTAGTCTAAATAAAAGTCGCATAAAAAATATAACAAATGAATTTAAATATCCAATGGCAAAAAGTTTTTGCTGAACATAAATTGCTGAACATGTAGATGGAATCACTATTTCAATCGTAAAATGAGTACTGTGTAACGCTTCTTAACAAGGCCTGAATCTAAGTAGCATCAAAAGACATGTTTAAGATGTTTAAAAGATGTATATCCGTAGAGGCTTTTAAATACATAATTATTAAAAAAAAGAAATGTGACTTTTTTTTTGGAGATAAAGGAAAAAAAAAAGAAAAAAAAGAAAAAAAAAAAGGGGATAGTTCACTAAAAAAAGCTGTATAAATGTTCAATCACAAAATGTTCTCTATGAATAGCTGCAAAAATGGTCTATAACAAAGTGAAGAGTTCTTTAAGAAAAAGCGAAAAGCTGAACAAATATGTACAATTGTAACCACAAAACCATTCAGAAAATATTAGGAATACAAATAAGCCAATTTTTATAGTATAAACAAATGAAAAGACCAAACAGAATCCATATACAGCAACAGTTATTACAAAATGACAAAAATTTTGATTTTATTGTTAATGAAAAAGCCTACTTCTAATTATGCAACTCACTTCTATATGGACTAGTTAACTTGTTTGGATTCGCCAAAAAATTCACCAAAAGGTGAGAGTAAAACTTAAATTAGATCAAGTAGAATTGCAATCAATAAATACTTGTACCTCAATACTTGTACCTCAATACTTGTACCTTAATACTTGTACCTCAATACTTGTACCTGAATACTTGTACCTGAATACTTGTACCTCAATAGTTGTACCTGAATACTTGTACCTCAATGCAAAAATATATAAGTAATGCATAAATCAGTGGTAGGTTGAAAACCTATTTACACAATGCTTGATCAGTCACAAATTGTCTGCAAGCACAAAAGATACCACTGGTACCTAACGATATAACAGCAAACAATGTCAGAAGCACATTCTATTAAAGATTTTGGAGAATTCTTGAACAACAAATGTAAATGAATGGTTGGACTGGGGATAACATTAATTAACTGCATTTCCAGATTAGTTATTGCCAGAGTAAAACGAATGTCAAAATTTTGTAACAACACAAAAGACTTGACCAAATACATTACTACAAACTCAATTGACTTTTTTTGTAAGCTTTTAATTTTTCCTGATAATATTATGTTTTTAAATATTTTATAAAATAAAGTTTTATTTAAAAAAACCGGTTGTGCCATCTATTATTTGACATACCTTAAAGGGATCCCAAACTGTCCAAGACATGTTGTGTTCATATTAAAGAACATATAAAAGAGAATGGTAAAAAAAATATTTGGGCCAAATTTTTTTGATTAAAACAAAAGAATAAATGCATACAAAAAAAACTAACTTTTTTATTTTAATCAAAGCTCACTTTCTCTGTTTTGTTGTAGAAATCAGCATATTATTCACTGCAATCTACAGACTTTATAATTTATTCAAGCCATTTTGTCATTGTCATTGGCAAAACGTGCTTGTCATTGATTTTTTTTGTTTGAAAAAATCGATGATGTTATGTACTGAAACTCTTAGGAATAAAACGTGCTTCAATAAAATATCAAGTTTGTAGATTGCGGCATATATTATGCTGACTTTTTGGCCTACAACAAAATTGAGAAGGCAAGCTTCAACTAAAATAAAAAAGTTAATTTTTCTTGGTATGCATTTATTCTTTTGTTTTAATCAAAAAAATTCAGCCCAAACATTTTTTTTTATCATTCTCTTTAATATGAATACAACATGTCTCGGAGGTTTAGGATCCCTTTAAATAAAATTCAACATAAAGTCAAGCAAAGTGATAAATTACCAGCACAAAATAAATGTTTTAAAAAGCTTTTATCAGCAGAAGGATCAGTTAAGACAAAATGTGAAAACAATAATGGTGCAAATCGATGACTAACAGCATACGGAGGAAAAGTTTGTAAATGTTTTGCTAAAGTGCTGAAATATAGACAAAAAAACATAAACCATTTATTAGCTAAATTAAAATAAAAAATATAAAATTTTCTTAATTTATAAGATTATTTTGTAAACACTTTTTTTTATCAATATTCGGATATTTATTGACTTTAATTAAATAACTTTTTTAGTTACAATAAGTTAAAGTTACCTGTAAAAAATTTCTCTTTCAACTGTAGACTTTAGAGTTATATTCTGAAGGTCATGATAAGTCTTTAAAAATGGAAATCTAAAATAAATATTGATTGTAACTAATAAAAATATATTTAATTCTAAACTAGGAGTAATCCTAACAAGGCTGCAAGCAACCACTATTAAGTTGGGAGTTATAGAGTGCCGCTACATCGACTAAGGGTTTGGCATGGGACATCTTTTCTTTCATTATTCTTCATTTTTTTCTTTTTTTTTTCTAAAAATGCTGTATACTGTAAAAATAATCAAAACTAATACATGTGTGTGTGTGTGTGTATATATGTATATAAATATATATATATATATATATATATATATATATATATATATATATATATATATATATATATATATCAAGCCTTTCTGGGAAGCGCATGTGGTCACACGCCTTGTTCCTCCACATTTTAAGTAATTTTTTAAACTAACTGACCACGGTAGTTTGCATCTTTTAACTTATAAAGCATTTCAATAATTTGCGGGAAAAAGCTAAACTTACTTACTAAGAAAAAAAAAACAATTCTTAAATAAAGAAACAAAATTTATAGCAAAAGATCATGTTTAATTAAATAAACTAGAAAATTTATTAATTAAAAAAAGTAAATTAAATTTTTTTTTTATAAAAGTCGTTGAAGAGTCATTGAAAAAATCTTTTATAATGATTTAACAACGAAAGTTTTGATATGCAAATTATTCACGATTTTCGATATGCAAATTATTCACAATTTTTGATATGCAAATTATTCACGATTTTTGATATGCAAATTATTTACGATTTTTGATATGCAAATTATTCACGATTTTTGATATGCAAATTATTCACGATTTTTGATATGCAAATTATTCACGATTTTTATATGCAAATTATTCACGATTTTTGATATGCAAATTATTCACGATTTTGATATGCAAATTATTCACGATTTTGATATGCAAATTATTCACGATTTTGATATGCAAATTATTCACGATTTTTGATATGCAAATTATTCACGATTTTTGATATGCAAATTATTCACGATTTTTGATATGCAAATTATTCACGATTTTTGATATGCAAATTATTCACGATTTTGATATGCAAATTATTCACGATTTTGATATGCAAATTATTCACGATTTTGACATGCAAATTATTCACAATTTTTATCAGTTAAAAAACTAATTTGCTATGTACGCTAAAACCATTAAAAATTTTGTTAATTTTTTTTTCTTACGTTTATTTGTTTATTACATTTATTCGCTTTTACGTCTTTTTGCTTTTTATAAGTAATGAACTTATAAAATAGGAAAATAAGAAAATAAATTGCTATTTATTTGTAAAAAATATTACTTGATTAATAAACTTTGTTAATGATGGAATAAGTTAAATAAAAGAATAACATAGTTTCTTTAATAAATGTATTTACCGCTTTTGATGATGCATGAAATTGTTTTTTTTATATTGCCCAAATTTTAATCTTAATACGAATTACTAGAGATAATGAACATAACGATTGCTCTGTTTAAAAAATCTATTTAAAAACTTAAACAAAAGTTTTAAATAGGCTCCTAAAAAGTTCATTAAGAAAGTTCAGTAAATTAACAATGCACTAGCTCACAAAATTTTGTAGCAACATTTCATTTTTTTTAAAACATTAAAAACTTGTTTATAAAAAAAAAAATTTCACAAATAAATAGCAATTAGTTTTTTGCTTTCCTGTCCATTGATAAAAACAGTTAAGTTTAGCAAAGACAGTTGAAAAATAAGTTTAAAAACTGTCCATGTTTCTAGCGCAATATATAAAGTATTTCCTTTATATACTGACTGAAAAAAGTGGCAAAAAAATTGCATATCAAAATTTTTTTATTTTTGTTATATTCTTATCTACTTTTTTCCTCGACTTAAATCAATTTTGGTAGTGGAAAATAACAAACACTCTCAGGCTTTCACAGGAAGATGTGCGATTTCACGTCTTTATATGACCACGCAAATTACATTTTGCTCTGATGGTTTGACCACGGCTAATTCAAAAAACTTTTTTAAAAAAATTATTCTAAAAAAGTGAAATGAAAAATATTCTAAAAAAGTGAAATGAATTATATCAAAACTTCTAAACAAATGTTTTTATATTAGCGAAACGATTTTAAATAAAGTAACAATTTACTGAAAATGTTTTTTTTTTTTTAATACAATTGACAGTTGTATATATTTTTTTAATTTATAACATATAAATTGTTTAAGTGTTCATTTTTAAAATAAATGTTATTAAAAAATAAAAAATTGTTTTGTTTTTATAAATGATGACATTCTACGACTGCAAAAGTCTTTTTAACAAATTTAAATATAAGAATAATTAAAGTTAATGCATTTCAAAAGATAAACAAAATTTTGCTTAAAAAAAAAAGTTTTAAAAAGCCGTTACAATTTAATAAGTTTGATCTTAAATGCTTTTATATTATCGAAACGCTTTTTAATGAAGTAAAAAAACACTTCTAATTAATTTAAAAAAAAGTATTAATAAAATGTTTTTTTTTAATATATATAATTATGTATTATTTTTTTATGAAAAATGTTTAACTTTTGAAACATATTAAATAAATAAAAAATATATACAAATGTTGAAAACAAAGATTGAAATGTTTTTTTAATGCATAAATTAAATAGACTAAGCATTTTAGTTTGATGAGTTTTGTTTTAATTGCATTATATATATATATTTATTTTTTTGTGTTTTTGCTTTAACTAAGTATTTTTTTATTTTCTTTTTCGTTAAGATTTTTTTTCTTTTTACAACTTTTTTTTTTCTTTTGTAGAGCATTTTTAAATTTTGAAAATATGTTAAAAGCCGTGGTCAAATCGTTAAAACATATTTTTTGCGTGGTCATATAAAGACCTGAAACCGCATGCCTTCCTGTGAAAGCCTGGCTCTAAAAATAAAAAAACAAAAACAGTAAATATTTAGGTATATTATTTTTTTGACAAAAAAATTTTTTTTTTTTTTATTAACAAATTTTTTTTAGCTTTTTTTATTTAGGTTTTCTATTTCATATAATCTTTGGTTCTTTTCTTCGAGTATTGCTAATTTATTCTCTAGTTTCTTATAGCTTTATTTTGCCATGAATTCTTAAAACACTTACTATATAAAAAATGTCAAGTTATCTAAAAAAATTACTTTAGACGTGGACGTACAAGGCGTTTCCTGGGAAGGCTTGATATATATATATATATATATATATATATATATATATATATATATATATATATATATATATATATATATATATATATATATATATATACATATATATATATATATATATATATATATATATATATATGCATGTATTTATTGTAATTGTAAATATAAGTTAAATTTATCTACTCACTTAAAGAAAGAATCACTTAAAAGACTTTTCAAAGAACCAATATTCTAAATAAAAATTACCAAGAATTAATTTTATCCAATTTAGTATGGACTAATTTGTTGATGAATGAAGTTTAAAAATTTAATTGAAAATCAAATCTCAAATTAGTTTTTGCTCTGCAATAAAATAATTTCAAGTCTTTAAATTATAAGGTTTTAATAACTGAAAATTTTGTCAACTCGTGACATTAGAATAATAGGTGTCTCCTTTTTGTACTGTTGAAGGAATTTAGCAAAATTTGTTATACTATCTTATATTTTTAAAAATAAAAATAAAAACTTGTCAAATTAGTAAAATTAAAAAACTAAAATATCAAATTTGTTAAACCAATTGCTTAGGATACACATTATTTATTAAGTAATATAAGTATAAGACAAAATATCGGTAGATAAGAATTACAAAGTTTTATCTCCAAAATTTCATAACAAAAAAGTTTAATTTTCTGTTTTTAGTTATAATATTATTTTTGTGTTCAAAATTATATAATTTTAATATATTAATCTTATTATCATTATTTGTTTAATTTTAAATATTCTTAGTTTTTGTTTTTTCATTGTCAATTTCAACCTTATTTAAGAAAGTTGGAATTAACAATTAATTTGTAAACAAGCAATTTTAAAAAATGTGAAATTAATAATGTAAGATTAATTATAAAAACAAAAATAGGAGGAGGGCAACAAACCATTTGTATCAATTAATTATTATTAGTCACCATAAAAATTGAAAATCTAAAATTGCGCATTTGTATAAATGAACATAACCAGATACACTTTTTCAGAAAAGTATCTAGGGTTGTTCAACATGAAGTAAACAAAAAATAAAAACATGAATAAATGAATGCACAAGATTGGAACAAATAATTTATTATAAAATTAACATTTAGAGGTTGAAAATGTAACAAATTTTAAAGAAATTTTCTTACTTCCTTGTCACCAAAATCTGTCTCTAATCGGTTGATAAAATTTTTTGTGTTTTGAGCTAAATAAATAAATATATTTACATACCTTGAACTGTATACTTAACTACGTAACTTAGCAAACACCACTGATGATGTCATACTAAACCAATAAAGGTATGTAAAAAATTTATTATATTGTTTTCTCTTTTTCTGAAAAAAACTTTGTGTTGTGTAAACTTAGAACTTAAATGCACACATAAAAATATTTGTTACTTTTATTGTGTTTTTTAAATATATATTTTTTATTTATACTTTTTTAATCCAATAGTAATAACTACTATTACAAAATAAGTTAGTGTTAAATTTAAAAAGTACGCAATATAAGTTAGTGCTAAACTTTAAAAAGTACGCAAATTATAAGTTAGTGCTAAACTTAAAAAAGTACACAAAATAAGTTAGTGCTAAACTTAAAAAAGTAAAAATGTAATTTTTGTTGTAATAAAATGTAATAATTTTGGTAATAATATGTAATAATTTTGTTGTAAAAAATGTAATAATTTTTTTTCTTTCTTTTTTTCTTTTTGTAATTCACCTCCTCAAGGCCGAGCAGCCCACTACAGATGAGGAGGCTACTTGTGGTTATAAGCCTCTCTCAACTCTTTAACTCCAAAACACAAACCTTGACGAACAAGGCTGCTGCATGGAGAAACAAGTTGAGCACGGTACTACCAGGGATGTGGTGGGATTCGAACTCGGAACCTCTTGCTTATGAAGCGAGCATTTTACCACTACATCACTACCGCACCACACCACTACCGCAAGTTAGCGCTAAATTTTAAAAATTATGCAAAATAGGTTAGATTGATTTAAAGTGTTCAACTTTGAGCGAATTATATTAGTATTTGCATAATAATTCTAACAACATTGCTCTAAAAACAAAGTAGATATTTGAAGATGTATTATGAGATTTTTTACTACTTTTAATTTTTTTATCATTTTTTAAATTTTGATTTTAAAAATGAAAAACCAACTAAATAACATTTTCAGAAAAATATGAAATACTTTTTAATTAAGTAACTGCTCAATACAATACAATATAAAACTTTTTTTATCTTTAAAGCATATCAATTAAGAGACCATTTTTAGAGCGCTGTTGTACGTTTATGCTATGCAAAAATTCTAGTTAAAATGCAGAATCAAAAAAAGCGTAAACTATCTATAAAAAACAACTTCTCATTTTCAAGAAAAAATTTATCTTTTTAATTTATTTTTATATAAATTCCAAAACATTTTATATTATAGTAAAATAAATTATATAACATTACATGATATCAGGGCTGTGGAGTCGGAGTTGCGGAGTTGTGACAATTTTAGCGGAGTCAGAGTTGCTAAAAAATATCATGACTCCAACTCCGATAGTAATATTTCTTGGTATTGCACGTACATGTACAAAACATTCAATTAATTTTATGTTCATACTAAACCTCAAAGAACGTTGGATAAATTTGTCAAAAAAAAAATTTCAATTTATATTTCAGTTTTTTGGTGATATATATATGGTTTTTTGGTGATATATATATATATATATATATATATATATATATATATATATATATATATATATATATATATATATATATATATATATATATATATATATATATATATATATATATATATATATATATATATATATATATATATATATATATATGTACATAGACAACACATAACAAAAATTGAAGATTTATTTAATTCTAGAAGATCTAAAATAAAAAAAGTAAAAATTGAATTACCATCATCTTTTAAATATTCTAGTACACTCAAACAAAATTCTTTGTATCCTATAATGTCATTTTCAAAACTTTGTTTTGACAGCCGAAGTACCTATTAAACAAAAACAAAACCGTTTTTAGTTTTTTAAAGAACCCTAAGTTAGGTTTATATATATATATATATATATATATATATATATATATATATATATATATATATATATATATATATATATATATATATATATATATACTATAAGTCAAAAAGAGCTAAAAATTTATTGGTGTCTCTTCAAGCAAAAGTAATTCTTTTGAAAAATTTGCGGTTCAAAATATTATACAATTGTTATATATATATACATATAAAAAAAAAAAGATAATGTTACATGTGAACTAACAGATAAAATTTCCAAATTAGAAAATTTGACAGCAAAAAATAACGCTTAATCAGCACGACCTTCATATCTGGATACTGCATCATCATTCACCAAACCCTCAAAATCTTGCAATAATAAAAGCAGTATCAAAAAACTCAATAATAAGCGAAAATAAGTCAAAAAGAGCTAAAAATTTATTGGTGTCTCTTCAAGCAAAAGTAATTCTTTTGAAAAATTTGAGGAAGAAACTAAGGCGGTTCAAGATATTATACAATCGTTAAATGTCAATGCTTATGCCAACGTATTCAGTTTAAATAGAAAAATAAACAATCTAATGAAATCTTCTGTCAAATTTATCAAAACTAAAAATATGAAGTCTAAAAACTTCAAAAGAAATACAATCAACTTAGGTACCCAAAATGTTCAACCTGCTATAAATAAATCTGCCATAATTTATGACACTATTTGTAATCAATTTTAAATATTTTCATAGTCACTGAAACATGGATAAAATCTGACAACCCTCCTGCAAATCGAATTTGTATGGCACCACCAGGATTCAAAACAACTCAATATTGTCGATCAGACCGTCGTGGAGGAGGTGTCGCTATTGTTTACTCATGACTTACTGATGTTCTTGAAACCTCTAATATGATACAACGGGTTCATACTCCAACTTGAATACCTTCAATTATAGGTACTGCTAATCTACTTGACGTTGTAGTCAATTGCAGTGACGACAGTTTGCTTTACAACCTTAAGGTCAAAGATCTGGGTATTTAAGACCACTACATGATTCAAACTGAATTACAACACCAAACTTCGAAAAACAAAACTGTTTGGTTCTCTAAACAAAATTTCTCAAAGTTAGATATATCACGCTTCATAATTGAACTGCAAATGATGCCATGTTGCACTTCACCGGAAATAAATCGAATTATATTAAGTATAAGAATATGCTTAAATTATTTTTTTAGAAAAAATTTTTTTCGAACAGATGTAAAATAATTTATTAAATTTAATTTAAAATTTTTATAATTTTTATTTTAAATTGCAATTTGCAATCACTGCTTTGATGTTTACAATAGAATGTTTCTACTTTTAAAACTATTTTCAAGAAAAAATATATAATTAAAAACATTAAAAAAATTTACGATTTAAGAAAAAAAAACTTTTCAAATTTCAATCACAAAATTATTTGAATAAATGAACTTTAAGGCTAAAGTTCTCTTGTTAAATTGATTTCTTTTTAAATAAAATTCCTGAAAACAATTGCGTATTTATAAAAAATGTTTAGTCTACATGTCGCTATAAATAAAATGAAAATATAAAAAAATGGTGTCGCGTTTTTCATATTCTATTTGACAATTTTTGTTAAAATAATTATTAGTTAAAAGCTTATATTATGTGTTAACAACATGTAAGATCTAAATTGAAACATGTCTATGGCTAAAAAAAATATGGAGTATTGCTAAAAAATTACTGCACACTAACTCAAAAAATGTAGCTGATAACAATATTATACCAGAGGAAAAGTGTGAAACAATAAATCAATATTTCATTAACAAACTCGAAAGTGTAAAGAATACAATCCAAGAAAGGCTGACTGCCCTCCCAAAATCATATAACATTTTAGAGCTATCGCTCCCTGCAGCAACTTTAACGCCAACACTTGGTACAGTTACACCTGAAGATGTCTCTAAAATAATCAAACTCAAGACATCATCTCTCAATTTTATTCCTACTGACATCCTAAAATCTTGTGCTGAAGTTTTTAGCCCTATTATTGCTCACCTAGCTAACCTATCATTTAATTCTGGAATTTTCCCAGCCTCATACAAGATTGCCCAAATAACACCGATTCCCAAAAACCTAGATCTAACAGATTTTGATCCTACCAATCTACGCCCTATATCAAATCTGAGAACTATTTCCGAAATTCTTGAAAAACTTTATTTAGACTTCTTCCACATGTGACTTCCTCTGTAAACTTCAACCCATTACAATCTGGTTTCCAACTTAATCACTCTACTGAAACAGCACCCCTCAAGATTTGCAATCACATCCTATCAAACATTGATAATGTATCAACTACTTTGATTCTGTTGATCATAAACTATTAGCAGAATGTGCAAAAAACGAATTTGGTATCACAGGAACTGCAATCGAATGGCTGTCTTCATACCTTCATAAACAAAAAATTTTTGTTTCTATTGGAACAACAAAATCATCAATCTCAGATATTTTAACTGGAGTACCACAAGGTAGTGTTACTGGCCCGTGTCTATTTTCCATGTTTGTGTCTCCCCTAAATCGCATTATAGCTAAACTTGGATATAATCACCATCAATATGGTGATGATACTGAACTGTATACTTCCGTCAGACCAGGGATAGACCACATAAACAATAAAACTCAATGTGCAAATGTAGTCACCACATGGTTTCTTGAAAATAGACTACTGCTTAATCCAAAAAAAACAGAAGCTATCTTATTTGGAACCAGTAATCAAACTTTTAAAATTAAAGATAAAACCCAATTTTTATTCTCAGGTGCAACTTTTGCTGCATCAAACTTGGTAAAAATTCTCGGTATTACCTTAGATTCAACACTCTCTATGGACCAGCACATAAAGAATATTATTAAATCTTGCAACTACCATATTCCCGCACTTCATTGTACTCGTCCATTTCTTACCAAAAGTGCTGCAAAAATAATTGCCTGTGGAATTGTAAACTCTTGACTTGATTACTGTAACTGTCTTCTACCTGGAACTTCTCAAAAAAATCTTAACAAACTTCAATGTATTCAAAATAAGTTAGCTCGTGTTGTTTGTCACTCTCCTTTCCATTCACAATCTGAAAATTTGCTTCAATCGCTCCATTGGTTACCAATATGTCCAAAAAGAATTTACAAAATGTTTGTCATAATTTATAACTTATAATTATAAAAAACTATATCAACCAAGTCTCCTGCATACCTTTTTGATCTCTTAAAAATTCAAACTTCCCAGCTCCCCAACACAAGATCGTCAGACAGTTGCCATCTATTTCACCTCCCCAACACAAGATCGTTCAATGATGCCATCTACGTCATCTCCCCAAAACAAGATCGTTCAATGATGCCATCTACATCATCTCCCCAACACAAGATCGTTCAGACAGTTGCCATCTACGTCATCAAGCAAGAACATCGCTTAGTACAAAATCTTTCTACACATCTGCACCACGAACTTGGAACAATTTAAGTAAAAAAACGCGCGATGCAATGTCATTAGAAACATTTAAAAAAAGACTAAAAACTGAACTTTTCGAAGCTACTTACTCGACCTAAACAATGTTTGTTTATAAGTGCTTCTGAATCACTTCATCATACTTATGATTGTTGTGGAACTATGGCACTTTAATCTCTAATTTTTATTATTATTATTATTATTATTATTATTATTATTATATATATATATACATATATATATATATATATATATATATATATATATATATATATATATATATATATAATATATAATATATAATATATAATATATAATATATATAATATATATATATATATATACACATAATATAAAATTTATGTAAATAATATATATATATATAAATATATATATACATAATATAATATATATATATATATATATATATATATATATATATATATATATATATATATATATATATATATAATATATATATATATATATATATATACATAATATAATATATGTATATATATGTAATATATAAATATAATATATATATATATATATAATATATATATATATATATATATATATATATATATATATATATATAATAAATATATATAATAATATATATATATAAATATATATATATATATAAATATACATAATATATATATATATATATATATATATATATATATATATATATATATATATATATATATATATATATATATATATATATATATATATATATATATAAATATTTATATATATTATACATATATACATATAAACATATATATACATATATATATATATATATATATATATATATATATATATATATATATATATATATATATATATATATATATATATATATATATATATATATATATATTCCCAAGGAAAAAAAATAAGACTTTTAAGTAAGAGGAAAAATTATTTTTTCAACCCGGAGTCCTTAGGTATAATGGCGGCAAGAACTGTGGGACTCCAGGACTCCGGGTTTAAAAACAATAAGTTTTAAGTCATTAAATCTCATGAATTTTTTTCTTATAGCAGACCATAAGTCAACAAACATGTTTAGAGCTTCTAGACACTATAGACCTGAAAAAAATGGAGATATAAAGTCCTTTTGGGACTTCACATTCCTGTATATTAGTTAAAAAAATCATTTTAACATTTAAAAAAATATATTAAAACTGTTTTGAATAAACAGGTAATTCATTATTAGTTGAATAGATTTTATAGTTTAATGGGTATATAAATGTAGGAACACAAAAAAAAGAAGAAAGGTTTACATTGTAATTATAATACAATAATTTATGTTACATAATAATTGAAACTATTGAATAATTACAATAAAACCCTTTCTGTTTTTTTTTTTAGTGTTCCTACATTTATATATCCATTAAATCTTGCATATGGACTCCAATAAACAATACCTTTGTTGATGATTCAAAGGAACCTAATTTCCATATTCCATCGTCACTTACAAACACAGAAGATACACTGACTTTGTTATGACAAATCAAAGCCTAAATGTAAAATTTGTTAAAAGAAAAACTTACATAATAACACAATGTATTAAATTATTTTATTTTAAGGAAAGTTTAGGACCTTTATTATAATAAATTTTATTAGCAATAACTTTGTATTTGTATCTAAGAAGTATCTAGTGCCTACATTACATCAGTAGCATAGTCAAGGTTTTTTGATGTTTCAAATTTCTTATTTTATGCATATTAATGCTTATGTCAAATGAGAATGTTTTTCAAAAAATCATTGTGATTGAAGCCTAGGGGTATAATTGATTTTAACAAAAATACCCCAAAAAGTGGTGAGTTGATAGGTATAGTTTTTTAACATATTATATTAAACTTGAATTTATTGAGAGATTTTAAATTTCATTTGATAAACTTTTGGTGCTTGAAAGTTAAGACCATGCAAAATTTATAGCTCATTTTGAAAAAAGGCAGTAACTTTACATCGCCATAACTTTTGACAATAAAAAAACTATTTAAATAAAACTTGAAACTTGTCGATGAATTTAAATTTAATGTAATATGCTGAAATTTTTTTTTATAATTCGTTGCTCTTACATTTGAAGAAGGGGAACCAAACTTTTTGGATATATTTAGTTCCCTGGCTCCAATAACTGCAATTATTTGCAAAACATTCTCAGTTGACATAAGCATAAAACAAACAGCGTTATAATATCTGAAAAAATCATTACTGCCTACACCAGTTTACAATAACTTTTCCTATTTCAAACAAACTTCTATCACTAAACAATAATATTTTATTAATAACTTTTTACAAATATTATTTGCACAATTAAGACAAAATTTTATTATTCAGTTGTTTTTTTATTATAATAAAGTTTTATTTTACAAAAAGTTTTATTTTATTATAAGGTTTTATTTTAAGTTATTATAATAAACTTTTGTTTTTTACCAGAATACTTTGTTTATTTGAATAATATATAGGGTAGAGCGGGGCTAATCCGAACAAAAACATTATTTTAAACTTTGTATTTTTTTTCTCTTTAGCTTTTGCAATAACTTCTATATATATTTTTTTTACATTAGACGTGTCAAGTAAATATTTCAAGCATTTTTAAACAAAGACATATTGTATTTGCAGAGCCTGATGCAAAAATATGCCTTGTTCGGAATAGCCCCATTCAGGGGCTAATCCGAACAGAAGTCGATGTGCGCAAAAAACGCTTGTTAATATTATTTCTATTTAAATTGCATGATATTTTTTTAGGTAACATGTATTTCAGAGTTATTCCTAATATCAATGGACAAATAATGGGCGTATTTGAAGAAATATGCAAGGATAAATTATACATAAAATGCTGATACTTTCTTTTTCATAAATAACGTATACTTTAAATTTGCCTTTTTTTTTGACCAAGTTTTTTATTTTTATTTTTTGAACCCACTTCTTCTTCTTTCCTCCGATTTAAGGCAACTTTTGCTGTGAGAACCTTGCCACATTTTCCTTGCACTCATTTTCTTCCTTTTCTTTTATTGTATATAGCTGTTAAAGTGTCTTTGGATGGAGTTGGTAACAACACTTTTAAAATAGCAGCTTGAAGAACACAATGAGGAGAGTCATTATCTTTTGTATTCTCCACCGTCACCAACACTTTTTTGGCAGCTTTTGATGGATCTAACGGATATAAACCTGAGGTTATAAAACCAGATTCTAAATTTTTTTCTGTTTACTTTCAGCCAAGTTAGTCTCTGTAAAATTGGAAAATTAGCTTTGTTGATCAACGTATGGTAAGATTCTTGGAAGAAATTGCGCAAAATGTCTCTCCAAATTTGCTTCATTGGTTTAAAGAAACCAATGTCTAAAGGTTATAAAGCGTGACTGCTATTTGGGGGAAGGCAAATAAGTGCAATCTAAATTACAGAAAGTTATCAATGAAAGCTTAAATGAAACTAAATTAGGAAATTATTGCTAATTTTAAGATAAAGCTGTTTACATTGTTGTATTTTGCCTCTGATGCAAGAATATATGTAAGGTGACTGCCATGAACCATCCATAAATAGTGCTATATACACATCTTTTCCATGTTGACTAATTTTGTAAAGAATAAAGACCTTAAATATTTAAAAAAAAAAACACAAGTAAAATTTAACTTATCAACACTACAAAACAAATTCTGATATTAAAAGCTATCTTTGTAAAAAAATACATAATAAATAAATGTTTTTTTTTTTTTAAATTTTGTAAGGAATAAAGACCTTTAATATTAAAAAAAAAAAACACAAATAAAATTTAACCTATCTACACTACACAACAAATTCTGATATTAAAAGCTATCTTTGTAAAAAAATATATAATAAATAAATGAGTTCTTTTTTAAAAGTTAAAGCATTAAAAAAATTTTCAAATTTAACCATTATGGGAAAACAGAAATATTTTCTGAAGCCGTCATGTTTTCAAAAGAATAAATATCATATATTGTCATTCCATGAGTATACTTTATACAGAACAAATTTAATCAGAACTTGATACTTCATTTTGAATAATACATAAGTTAGAAAAAATAAACTGTTTGGATTTGCCCCGAAATTATTATACATTAGGAAAGAAATTATTATACATTAGGAAATATATAATAGCAGTTATTTTAATTTAAAAATATACATAAAACAGTTAACCATGAAATATTCATGAATATTAGAATTTTTTTTAACTACTATTATCAAATAATAACAAAAATATATGAAATATAGATATAGTATATCTATAACTCTGCTGAGATTGGTACTGCTACATATTTCACTTATTATTGTTGCAGTTAGATTTTTTAACTTAGTCAAAATCACCTGAATCATATTTACTATACTTTTTATAAATTTCAATATACACTTCTATACTTTTTATATATTTCTATATATACTTCTATTTTATACTTTTTATACATACTTCTGTTCTATTCCTTTAATGCCAGCATTTAATTATATATGTATATATGTATATATCTTATACTGCTGAGTTAGGTGAGCATGATGATGTCATACTGAAATAGCCTGCTGCCGGGGGCTTCAGTACATACATCGACTAACAAATAGCCTGACTTGCAGTGGAGTGCTGCTACATAGCCTAAGGGTTTGAGATGGGTCAGCAACCTTTTTATTCATTATTCTTCGTTTTCTTCTTCTTTTTCTCAAAAATCTATATTGATTTAGATAAAACGATTGCTGCCCCATCCCAAACCCTCAGTCGATGTAGCAGCACTCCACTGCAAGTCAGGCTATTTGTCAGTTGTTGTATGTACTGAAGCCCCAAGCAGCAGGCTATTTCAGTATGACGTCAGATTGCTTACCTTAGTACGCAATATTATTTGTCTATATATATATATATATATATATATATATATATATATATATATATATATATATATATATATATATATATATATATATATATATATATATATACATATATAGTTTTTAAACTATATATAAAGCAAAACTAGTCCTTAATATATATATAAAATATAAATAATCCTTATAACATTAAAGACCTTATCATGAAGAAAAATAAGGGCTTCTAGAATATTGTGCAGACCAGAAAATATTTCTTCAGGCTCTTGCTTCTCAACAGCCACATCCAATGGAATCACGTGTTCTGTAACAAGGGTTGCATGTTTCCGGCTACTGTCGAAAGAAGTAACATATTTCAGAATGTATGGATGTCTAATGATTTTGAGAGACTAAATAACAACAACAATAAATAAACAATATAAATAGAGTAACAATCTTAAAAAAAATGTTGAAAAAAGGGTAAAAATTTCATTTTCAAAAAATACAGTTGACTTTCTATATCTCAACTGCTCGATATCTCAACTACTTGATATCTCAAACTTTTATGTATCTTGAACTTTATTTCCAAACCCTTGCACACTTATTTGAGCCAAAACCCTCTCGATATCTCAAACTCTCAATACCTCTAACTTTTTTCCCGGTCCCCTGAGAGTTCCAGACATCAAGAGTCAACTGTAACAACAATAAACAGTTTAAATTTATTGAACATTTATGTCTGTTCTGACCATAAGGTTAAACTGATCCTATATTGGTGCAGTTGATGCATTTTAGCTAATGTGATGGCAACTTACCTAGGTGAAGGAAAATTCTACTATAAAACTGGATTTGATAATATTAGACTGAGGTCCTAAAACAAGTTACTAGTACCAAAATTATTTTGCTAATAGCAAATTTTAAAAAGCTATCTTTGATAGCACTTTATGGCATAGGATGCCATCATTACTTATGTTTTAACTTTTCTTTATCCATATAACTATGAAGAATTATTTTCTTTATTTTATTATTAATTAGTCAGTTTTCAAAGCAGTTGATTTTAAAAATTAATTTTAGATCTTTTTTTGGATAAAAGATTACTACATCTGTCTAACAACATCTGTAGAGTAGTCCAAGATTATCTGTACACTTTTATCCAAGATCATCTGTATTTTTTTTTTACTAAAACAACATTTGTCCAATACCATCTGGAAATTAGTGATCCCTAACATTTTTAGGAAGATGTAACTACATCTGGTAATTTTTCTTCAAGCCAATAACATCTGGAAGAATTTTCTCCAGATGTAATTAAATCTGAAATTTTTTTTATATGTAACTACATTTGGTTAAAATAATGCATTTTTAATTATTTCCAGATGTAACTACATCTGAAAAAAACCATATATCAAATAACATCTGTCAGCATTATAATTTAATAACTTCATAATACCCTGTAGTTATAATTAATATAATTGAAAAGATGTAAATACATCTGTAGAATTCACAGATGTAGTTATTCTTAACATAATTAAAAACATATAACTACATCTGTAAAATTTCCAGATGTAGTTGCACAGATGTTGTTATACTTAGATAATTGAAAAGATGTGATTAAAAGAAGTAATCATATACTTTATACACAGATGTTATTAGACATCAATGAACTTTCACATGCTGTTGGGTAGATGTTATTACAACTCAGTGTTTTTACAGATGGTGTTAGACAGATGTAGTTATACATCATTATATTTAGAGATGTTGTTGGACAGATGTTATTAAAATTGCAAAAACTGATGTTGTTACCCTAGGGATGGCAAAAATCCCAGAAATGTTTAATTCCGGGATTTCAGGATTGAGAAATTTGTCCCCCTGAAATCCCGAGAAATCCTGGGATTGAATAGAAAAAACGCAAACGCAATTGAATACTTTTTAAGCACTCATCAAACACTTAAAAATGATTGATTTAATGATAATATAACTAAAATATTTAATACATTAATAAACCTCTAAAATTTTGATAATTAATAAAATTAATGATAATATAACTAAAATATTTAATTCATTAATGAACCTCTAAAATTTTGTAATGAAACTTATCTAAGACTTTTAAAAATTAATAAACCAAAGTGTTATAAATTATAAAACAATAACTTAAAATGGTAACACAGTATAAATAAAAATAAATATTAAAAAATAATATAAATATGCATAAGGTTAAAGAAAACTTTTGTAAATCAAGCATTTTCATAAATCACATATTGTAAAATTAAAATGAATGGATATAAAAATGGAATTAAAATCGCGCATACTTTTGGAAGCAGAAAGTTCAAAATTAAATTAATGAATACCTTCTATAAAAACTTCTTGCTCTTTTTACCAGCAAGCGCTTTAATTTTATTTATTTTTATAATATACTAGATTTAATATTATACAATATATTATATATAGTATAATATCAAAACTAATAAATAACAAAAACATGAGTGCTTGCTGGTGCAAGGAGCAAGAGTTTTTAATAAAAATTATACATTGATTTTATTTTATTATATATTTTTAATTTAACTATATATATATATATATATATATATATATATATATATATATATATATATATATATATATATATATATATATATATATATATATATATATATATATATATATATATATATATATATATATATATGTATATATATGTATATATATATATACACGCATATATATACGCATATATCAGGCTTGGTCGGGAAGCGGGAGCAATCGCTCTCGAATACTGACCACAGAAATTATATTTAGTTGCGAAAAACTGGCCAGGTTTTTTAGTCGTTTTGAGAACATTTAAATTAATGTACGAAACAAAAAATTTTTGTTTTACGGACATACATGGAAACATAATCAACTTGAATGTTCTTAAAACATTTTTGTGTGAAAGAATAAAAAGAATATTCGCGAACACTAAAAACCCGCCAAATTAACGAAGAAACTAATTCTATTGGTTCAAAAAATACGCTGACTTAGCGAAATAAAGTTCTAGAGTATTCTGTTGAAATGTTTTAGAAAATGTTTTAGAAAAGATTTGCTACGTTTTGAGATTTCTAGCATAAATTGTATTAAGAATAAATATATTATTTGTTTACAAAAATAAAAGTTTTAAATATATATTAAATTGTCAAAATGTTAAAAGTTTATTATAAATTATAGATTTTATTAGTATATTCTTATTTTTTATTTAAAAAGTATGTATTCTTTATGTAAATTTAATTTTGTTTACCTGTTTTTTATCGTAATGTATCTTTTAAAGCAATTTTTTCGATTTAAGCAAAGACTTACAAAAATAATTGCGTTTTCAATGAAGTTATAATTGTTACAGTTAAAACTAATTACGTAACAAACATATAAGAAGTTTCTAGTTACTAAACACAAACAACGCTTACAAAGTAACTCGCAGATGAACAAGCACCGCACCTAAGGTTACGACAGAACACAAATATATATAGCAAATAATTAGATGAAAAGAAAAGTTACTAGATATTAGTTTACTAACTCTAATTATTTTCGCTTAAGTTACCATTCTAAAAATTTGTTGTACTTTTTTCTGCTTGATATACTAATTAAAATTAAAAAGCCCACTCACTAAACATCACCAGCGATATTGTGAAGCAATTTCGCTTCCTCGTCATAAAGTATTTTTAACCTTAAGTTGATTTCTATATTATTAATTTAATTTCTATAGTAATTCAATGATTTAATTATTTCATTTGTTTATCTTACTAAGAAGAATTGCTTCAAATATGTTAAACTTTTCAAACTACGCGAAAAATAAAATAGGTATTGAAAAAATTAACTTTATTATTTATAAAATAATTTAGCTAAAATAAAACTAAAACTTGCAAACTTTGTTAAATAAAGAATATTTGTTTCCTTTTTAAACAATCGTAAGTTGTTACTTTATATAAAAAACATCGCTTAATTTTATAAAAAAAATTATAAAAGAGCGATGTTTCGAAAATATTTGTTTTAAACGTAATTTATTTAGCTTTAAGTTTTTTCGCGTTTAAAGATATTTTATTACCTAATTTTTTTTTTTTTGTAATTGTCTCTCATCGGTCCAATTAATCTTGAGTGCTTTTTTTTTTGCTTTTTAAAATGTTCTCAAAACGACTAAAAAATCTGGCCAGCTATTCGCAACTAAATATTATTTACGTGGTCAGCAATCGAGAGCGATCGCTCCCGCTTCCCGACCAAGCCTGATATATATATTTTTATATATAAATCTTTATTTAAAATTGATAGGCATTACAAATAATGAAGTGTACAATTTTCTCTATTGCTAATAATATAAGAAGTGTAGCAGCACTAGAGCGTAGGCAAAACACTTTTTATTAAACAGATTACTTGTGTGTTGAAAATGCAGCTGAGCTGCCAATGTTGCGTGGCAGGTAAAGATCACTGACACCATCACATAGAATACAAAGGTATTTTTGAATGAAGGATTATTGGTAAGTTGTTAGCGTTATTAAGAGCAAACTGAAAACTATTTGGGTGTTTCTACTATTAATGCGGGCTAGTTTATTGGTTATTGGATGGTATGTGTCATTAAGGATCTTTTTGAGGATATTAATACATGCTTTTTCTAATAATTCTTCAATGTTAAAACAAATATTAAAGCGGCTTGAATTGGTTGCGTCAATACCAATGATATGCAACACAGGCTTGGCTAGGAAGGCGTGCTATTTCAAATCTTTATATGACCACACAAATAATATTTTGTTATCATGATTTAACCACGGCTTTTAACAAATGCGTTAAAAAAATGGTTTTTTAATTACGTTGAAAATAAATAAATTTGACGCGTTTATCTTTACTTAGCAAAACGCTTTTAAATAAAGATTTTAATTATCATTGAAAGTTGTATATTTCTTTATTTATATTATTTAATTATATAATACTTTTTTAAAAATAAAAAGTAAAAGTTATTAAAATTTTTTTCTTTTTAAATTTTAGACTTTAATAAGTGAGGTCTCTAATAAACTTCATACAAGAATCATTGAAGTTTTTTTTGAGAAGAAAAAAAAAACTTTTTTGAAAGCCGTTTGAATTAACTAACTTTGATCTTTACTTACGTAAGTCCAGTGACTTGTTACTTTATTTAAATTCAATAAAATAAAAATGTAAGTAAAGATCGAAGTAGTGGTGTAGTGGTAAGAGCGCTTGCTTTGTAAGCGAGCGGTTCTGAGTTCGACTCCCACCACGTCCCTGGAAGTACCGCGCTCAACTTAATTTCTCCGCGCAGCGGTCTGGCTTGTCACGGTTCGTGTTTCGGAGTTAAAGAGTTGAGAGAGGGTTGTACCACAATTTACAAAAAAAAAAAAAAAAAAAAAAAAAAAAAGAGTAGCCTCCTCGACTGTAGTGGCCC